GTAATCCTCGTGGGAACGATCTCTTACTTAATTATATATTACTTGTACGATCAGTGCACTTGCCGTGAGTACCAACAAGTAGCTTCATGTTGAACCCGGAGCCAAGTCACCAGTCAGGCACCTAAAAAATATAACTTTACAACCACCCTAGCTATTTTATCACGTTTTATATGTTTTACTATATGTCTTTGCATCTAAGTCACACGACAATAGTTTTTCCTTCCTAAGATAGCGATAATAATTTATTTTTTATTTTTTATCTTTGAAAAAAACTTGCATCATATAAGTGTGACCTCTCATTTCACTAAAACCAATTAATAAAAAGGAAAATGGGAAAGGGTTTTTACTTTGTAGAAAGTAGAAAGTCTTGCTAAGAGTGCTTCCTTCTCATTGTGGGTTAACTTTGACATATAAACTGCACATTTTCATCTAGAAATCTCTAAACTATTAGCCAATATCATATTTGAGGTACGGATTAAGTTATGGTGCATAACTGCATATGGAACTTCAGTGGATTTAAGTAAGCCTTCGCTGAATATGCCAATTTTTTTTATTTTATTTTTCAATTTATCAATTAATCAACTAATTCAACCGACTCGGATAGAATCACAAGTCTATCACAGTTCTTCCCATCAAGTTTTTAACATAGTGCTAAGCTAGAACAACCCCACAAAACATCTATTTTTTTGTTTATCCCCTTTTATTTGTTTGATTATTCACTGGAAACTGTTTACTCTACTTGTTATCATTTGCATAGAAGAGAAAAATATTCAAGATAAAGAATAAACATCAAAAGTTTGTGACGTTGAACGCATGGATTTGGAGGTCTACACTGTTTTTTGTATACAATTACATCGTCCAGAAGATACATACATTTCAACTGACCAATAAATATAGATAAAACATGAAGAAAACCCACCAAATGACATTAACTAGGTATAGAATATTGTAGAACCATTGGCTTCACATACAATTTTTTTTATGTACGCATAAAATTTTGAAGTGTGAATGCCCTGATGAAGGGTTTACTTTCCACTTTCTGCATTCTTGGCCTTCTGGGTTTAGATCCTCCCTTTAGGAGATAGTATGTGTGTGACAAAGACATGATACCAAGTGGACATGTTTTTCTTGCATGATTGCACTGAAAAGGAATTTCGAGAATATCACACAAGAAAGGGTGCCATGCAAGTCACTCTTCTCATACCATTTAAATTTGTCTCCATTTCCCTTCACCTTTCACCTACCATGAACCAAAAATAGTTCTTCACCAAATGGGATGGCTTCAGTCCCTCCTCTGCCCACTGAAGAAGCTCAGGGATCGTCTTCACTCAAGCCACATAAAGCGTAAACTTGCATTTTAACTTCCATTCCCTTTACTACATAATTCTATCTTTATTATGCAATATGTCTTCATTTTGTTCTTCTTTATAAGCTCTTAATATCATTCCTACAATCAGCTATTGTGTAAATTTGCATTTAGATTGTCTTTGCTTCGTAGGTAATTCATCTTCTGTCAACATTCTAAGTTCAATTGTTCATCAACATGATGAGATAGTTTCAACTCTATATTAATTTTCGGTTATTGTGCAACAGGTAGAGGGATATACATACTTTACAAAGATGTGAAGTCCTGTCCATGCGAAGATGTGCATATCCTCTGGTCAATATTGGTTGAATCAGGCGCGGCCTCTGCTTCTTTGCCATCAAAGTGAATAAATGCTTAGAGTCCCAAGTCTCATTTACCTTAACATTAATTACAAGTATCAGGAAAAAAAAATTACTGATATAGTTTCCTTTCGTGTGCATATATACATTATATTATATGTGACCTTCACCTGGTTTTTTACTAGTATGTTCCATGGAACATGTATAGAATTTAGTCCTGGCAAAGGAAATGAAGATTCTAGGCTTACGAGTGGGAGAATATAGTTTTAACTCCCCAAGGGAAGAATGCGACAATTTGCAAATAAATTATAGTAACAAATGCATATGTCTGTACTGCTAAGGACTGGTATTTTCTTTTACGGATGGCCAAAAAGCACATGAGTCCCTTCATTTATATATTCATATGTTTGTACTTTGTACTGCAGCCAGCCATGTTTGAAAGAATCGAGCCGAGTGGTTCATGCTTCATAGTAGAGTTAACTTTTCAATTCTTATTTTTCAGAAATATGTTATCACTTATTAGATCAATAAAAAAAAGTTGACTTTTCAAATAGTTATTGTTTATGCAAGTTAGCTCTTGTAATGACGTGATATATAATAAAAGAAGGGTTTCATTTCTATAACGACTTTGTTAACGAGTGGTACGTAATTTCTTTAGAAAATTTTCAAAAAAATTGGGAGGTGTTCTTTAACCCTAGGGGGATACCACTAACTCCACTTAAATGTTTTTACACAAAAAATAAAAGAAGGATTTAAAGTTTTGTATAAAATTATTTTTTATATATACACGTAAAAGTGTGTGGAGCTTAATTTTCCTTTTTCTTCTCTTCATTTAGCCCCACATATATATATATAAGATAATTTTTTTTTTTTGGTAACTGATCCTGATTACTTCTTTGAGGCGAATCAGAACACGGGTTCAACTCTTTGAGCTGCCTATGAGACTAATACAGAGTTCGGGTGCGAGTCCAAAGATTACGGTACTTATGCTCCTCCCCAGATGGTGTTGGTGGGATTTGAACCGAGGTCCTCTCCTACCACTCAGTCCCTGTGCTAAGATAATTTTATCTTACGCACGAAAACTTTAAATCCAGAATAAGAAAATCCAATAATAAGACAAAATAATTTCGAAGCCAGCAAGTAAACGGGCCGGTTCAAATAATAATAAGAAAAGCCCTAGGCACATGGTTTTACTTTTGCAATGGGCCTTTCTCTCATTGCCTAGCCCAGTTTGCAAACCGAACCCTTTCGATTCATGAATTATTGGATAGAGAGAATAAAATGGCGGATAAGGCATTGAGACCCAACAAGGATATTTATGACCAACTGTCTTTTCTGGAGGCAGCAGTTTGTAATTGTGTTTGTGAACGATGTTCTGCACCCTGAAGGCCTAATGTTTCTAGGGTTTCATCTCTTTCCACTTTATTTTTTTTTATATTTAAGTGTTAAGTAGGGTTGTGCCCTAAAGTAAATCCTATTACCTCTCAAATGGATTCATAAATAAAATTTGTGACTGTTCTAATTTCTCTTAGAAGAAATCTTTACATTTTTATATAAGCTTCTTTCATTTTAAAATTTATAGCACAAAATTTATATCATGTATTTCTTTATATTCATTATTAATTTTTATTACGGTAAGTAAACAATTTAGCAAGATGAGAAATTATCTATTTTTAAATTCATGACACGTCAATGTTTTAAGAAATATTTACGAGGATATTTACAAATCTCATTACTCAATTTTTTTTTTATTTTGTTGAATTCTTATAATCAAAACGCGTTCATTAAAGAAAAGGAGAAAGAAATCCCAGTTATAATAATGTATGGAAGGTTAATTAAAAATGATTCATCATTCAAAACCCAAATCTTCGTATCAGCATGAGATTATAGAGTTAATGTTTTGGTAAGAGATAAATCTCATCTTATCTCTTATATATATATAAAAATATACGAGATTACTTAAAAAAATAAAATCATGAGTAAGATTGTTCATTACAAAAAAACAGAAATCAGGAATTGATTATGCCATTGTCGGAAAGAGAAGCAAGAAGGTTCTTGAACACAGTACACAGTTACACCCACTCCTGCTTTGGGCCGCAAAATAGGGAAAAGTTTCGGGTTTGTTGTACAATAGGCTGATGGAGGAAAACAGGAAACACGTCTACCAATTCTGTCTCCTTCCTTAACCTTGCTTTGCCGTGGTAACTAGTAAGTTACGGAAATGGATTTCTTAACATGTTATGTGAGAGGATCTTACTCACTGATAATTAAATTAATTACGATAATTACGTAACTTTTTATTTTTATATTTTTTTTCTTCTCTCTTATCACCACTAACTCATCCATATATAATTATGATTATCTTAAATGATATGATTATATTAATTAACACATTAGAATCGTAAATTACATAGATAAACTCAATGCATGCCAGCACAAAAAATGGAAAAATTGAAACCAAGGACACGTTTCTATTTCCAAACAAAAATAAAATATAATTCATTATCTTCTTACATCATATCTAATCGTGTCACATCAAATCTTTAAGTTATTTTTATCTTTCATTTAGCAATATATAAATAAAAATATAAAAATAATTCATTAATTTGTATCCTTTGATAACTTACCTTATTAGTTTTCAATTATATAAAAAATATTACATGTTTAAATAATAAATGCCTCTCTTTTTTAACTGAGACAATGTTAAAAAAATTACTAAAAGTATATAATACCACCAAAAAATCTTAAATATCTATATTAAAAATTAAATGGGTATTTATTGTACGAATCTCTTATTAATAAGTTTACCCATAAAAAATTAAAACGTCCGAGCACGCTCTGCGTATTGTATTTGTATTGGGTCTCCTCCTCTCCCACTCTCTAAACCCCTTCTCTCTGTCTCTCTCTCTCTCTCTCTCTCTATTACTATTTTGTCTCTTTCTCGCTCTAAAACCTCGAATTCGAAAACCACCTTGGGACGCCATGTCCCTTATACTTTTAGGGAACCAACTGATTCATCGCATGCTGTGCTAGGTTTCGTATAATTCCCTGCAATTTCTTGTACATTGGTGAGGTACGAGATTTTTGCCATCCCTTTTTTGCGTTTGATGTTGATCTGATTCTTCTCTTCGATTTTCCTTCAGCGACTTGCGTTTTTGTCACGACTCTGATTTCGAGAAACCGAGTTGCATTTAAATCTCGTTGGGGAGTTTGCTTCATCTCCACTGCACCTCTAAGCATTCGGGTTAGAAATTGCATGGGTGTTTTGTGCGTTTGGTTTTTCTTTCAGTTTACTCCAGCTGTACGGTGTTTGTAAAATTAGGGTTCCGTGAGAAATGAGAGAGGGGTTGAGATCTCGGACTCGATCGGGGAAGGTTTCTGGTGGCGGGGGAGTTGTTCACAACGAAAGCGGTGATGTGAAGAATGAAGCTTTTGATTTGGGTGGCGAGGGTTTAGGGGCACCTGACTTGACGATTGAGAAGAAGGACGCTGTTGAACATGCAGTAAAAGAAGAATGTGGCTTGGATTTGGATGTGAGTACGAGTGGAAATGTTGACTTAGCCGAGAATGGGAAAGATAGGAGTACTTTTAGTGGTGTGGCTAACGTTTTAGAAGCTGATGTTGACATGGAGGAGAAGAAGGAACAAGGGTCAAATGATGGAGTGTTGATTGGTGGTCGGGTATTGCGCTCAAGGTCGAAGAGGGGTGATTCTAAAAAAGGTTTTAACGTAGAGAATGGTGGTGTCATTTCCGGAAATAATAGAGGACAAGATAGGTTTGAGAGGGTAGAAGTTAAGACGGAATATGAAGAAGTTGATGAATTAGTTACCGAGGGTTGTGAGAATGAAAGGGTTGGGGTGAAGAAGGAAAGGAATGGCAAGAAGAATTTGAAACGGAAGCGTGGGAGGCCTCGCAAAATAGAGTTGAAAGAGGAAGATCAATTAGTTGATTGGTTGCCATGTAAGCGTGGAAGACCGCCCCTTGAGGGTAAACGTGGAAGACCGCCCCTTGAGGGTAAACGTGGAAGACCACCCCTTAAGGTTGGCAGACAAAACCATCTCCTAAAAGTGGCGCATAATAGAAAAGGAAAGGTGGACCGTCAAAAAGGTTTAACTATGAAAGATGGTGCAAATGGGAATGCAATTGAAGATACGAACTCAAGGAGAACTTCTGGGAATGAGTTAGAAAAGAAGGGATGTTCTCCTGTCAAGAAGAAAACTGAGAACAATGGGGTGGCCTCACCATTTGGATCAAATATATCGAAAGCACTTGCTGTAGATAAAAGTGGAAAGAGTAAAGTAAAGAGTGAAGTAAAGAGTAATGTAAGGAGTAAATTAAGGCAGTTAGTGAGGGATCAAATAATGGAACGGCTCTCTGCTGCAGGCTGGACAGTTGAGTATAGACCGAGGAATGGCAGAGTGTACAATGATGCAGTGTATGTTAGTCTTGATGGAAAGACACACTGGTCAATCACCTTGGCCTACAATAGGCTTAAAAGGCATTATGAAGCTGGTGATGGTGAAGGTAAGGTATACGGGCCAGGTTTCAAATTTACACCAATACCAGAAGAGGATTTCAAGATACTAACTAGGGTAATTGTCAAGCAAAGAAAAGATAAATGGACCCAAAAAGGGGGAAAGGGTGGAAAGACGATTGATGGAGTCAATAGCAAAGAGGGAAAAGGAAAACCAGGTTCTGGTGCAGGAATGGGTAAGTCAGTGAAAAGGAAAATAAAATGGAAACGTTCACTTCTTGATGAGGGCAACACAGATCTTACATCAGCTAGCAGGATGCCAGTTCTGCTCAGGGATCATAAGCGCCATAAAACACACAACAAGAAGCGGTGTGCTCTGTTGGTTCGCAATGCTGAGGAGGAGATAGATTCAGAAATTGATGGATATGTGTCATACAGTGGAAAACGAACTGTGCTTGCCTGGATGATTGATTTGGGTACTATCCTCCAAAATGGGAAGGTTCATTATAAGCAAGACGGAAGGGAATGTTTGTCTGGTAAGATCACAGGAGATGGCATTCATTGTGGCTGCTGTAATGAAATCGTAACAATTTCAGACTTTGAAGCTCATGCAGGAAGCAAACTCACTGATCCACTTAAAAATATACATATAGAGGAAGGAACTTCTCTCTTTCAATGCCTGCTAGATTCATGGAATAAACAAGATGAATTTGCACGGAAAGGTTTTCATTTCGTTGATGTTGCGGGTAAAGATCCAAATGATGATACATGTGGTATCTGTGGAGATGGTGGAGACCTGATCTGTTGTGATGGTTGCCCATCAACATTTCATCAAAGCTGCCTGGATATAAAAGTACGTATATTGATGCATGGTTATAGGGACTTTTTTAATTTATTTTGACATAATTAGTCGTAATAGAACTCTTTTGATTTGACTTTCTTATTGATACATAATTCATATTGTTATGAACTATCTTCTTGACCCTTTTCATTAGTATCTGTTATCACGTTACTGTAAAAGGACTTTAATTTTTGCCAACTTGGTGCAAATTTTATTGGCTTTTGTTGACATCACTGTCTTTTTATTTCTTTCTGTTTACGTCTTGGTTATCCTTTTTTTTTTCCCTTCAAATATAAAGGCTGTCTGGTATCAGCTTGTTTTGACGGCTATATTGGGCATAACCTATGCTTGCCCATCAGTTATTATCCGGCATTGAGTGTTCGTAGCTAAGATCGTTCACTACCTAAGAAGGACCTAATTATCACCTGCTGATAATAAGTGTTTCATTATTTGAAAACTTGTGATGGATATGCCTTCTGAATTTCTGGAACATTTCATGAGAAGCAATGGGAAAATCTTATTATTATTTTTATACTCTGTAGTTTTCCGATGTATCCATTATATAACTGCATATGGAAAATAGGACAACTTAATGTTTGTACTGGAAAATAAAGCGTCTGTTTTTTGCTTGCAGAAGTTCCCTTCTGGTGACTGGCACTGCATTTATTGCTGTTGCAAATTTTGTGGGTTGGTTAGTGGAAGCTCAAACCAAACAGACGGCTATGATGATTTTACTATGTCTACATTACTTACATGCCATTTATGTGAGGAAAAATGTATGTCCTTGGCATATGTAAATTCATTTTTTAATTAGATACTCATTTCTCAGGACGAGTTGCTTTATTTCCCAGCTAGAAAAGAATACATCTTTTTATCTTTTGTAGATCACAAATCCTGTATTGAGGCAAATGGCGACAAGACAAATGATTGCAGGGATGTCTTCTTTTGTGGAGACAGATGTCAAGAGGTATGATCTATTTTTTCACATTGAATCTTGATCTTCTCATGTATTTTGGTTGATGCTAAGTTATTTTGTAGTGGTAATGTTGGAGCAGCGGTATGGTTGGTCTTTGTGACTGCGCTGCTCTTTGTGACCGGAAGGTTACAGGTTCGAATAGAGAAACAGCCTCTTTGCATAAATGCAAGGGTAAGGCTGGTACTCACCCCTACTCTCGTTAGTCGAGGAGCTTTGTGCTTAGCTTTTGACTTGCTATAGTGGTTACAATGGTTTGCTGCGTCCTGTTGATGCTATTGCTCAATCTGTAGACGTTTTCCTGTCATTATAATCAAACTTATTTGTTTTGTTATTTTGTCCTCCAGTTATCTGAGAGACTTGAAATGCTTCTTGGGGTTAAGCATGAAATTGAAGATGGATTTTCTTGGACCTTTATTCGGCGATCAGATGTTGACCTTGATGCTTCTCAGATAAAACCTCATATGGTTGAATATAATTCCAAGCTGGCTGTTGCTGTATCAATAATGGATGAGTGCTTCATGCCATATATCGATCATAGAAGCGGGATTAATCTGATCCACAGTATTGTGTATAATTGTGGGTAAGATCACATGCCCTCTTTCTTTAATGTCCTCGTTACCACTTTTCTTGGTGTGGACCACATGGTTGAGTTGCACCAATAGTTTCTCCTTGAAAATAGGTTTTCTTGGGGTGACATACATTAATATACGAGCTTTGAAAGTTTTGGAACTTATGAGTTGATATAAAGTACAAGAATTAAGCGACTATCATATGATTTGTGAATGGAAGTTTGGGACAACTCTAGTGATACTAAATCAGTGGGGGTTGTTTTGTGGAATTGAATGATAAATGTAAATGAAGGTGGATATTAATTTTGGAGCTTTTCAGCTAGTCCTAGTCCTGCCCCCTTATGTTACTAACCATTGATATATGGATATGGAATGTAACGTGATAATTTATATGAAGTTTCAGATTATGTTGCCAAATATTTATGGTTTAGTTGAAGTGCCTGGATTCACCCTCTCCTCTTTCTCTTGCTCTCTCTCTCAAAAAAAAGGGGAAAGAAAAGAAAAGAAAACGAAAAAAGGTTACTGATAAAGATAGGAGTCATAAATAAATTTCTTGTGTTGATTCTGTAGATACAACATTTTACTTCACCATGTGTTTCTAATGAAAGGTGTAATGTACTAATGTACTTGAAGTACTTAGTTCAAATATGGATACATCATTAAACAATCAATGGGAAAACTCTGATGTTAAACTCTTGGTTATTATGTTACTTATAAGGTTTTTCCTTAAAGATAAAGACAAATATGCAGGCTTTATGTTATATTACAAGCAGGCCAGCTTGTTGTCTCAAAGAGAATGGAGAAGAGGAGCTTCTGGTTTTCTCATTTAAGGTTCCCAAACAAGAGAGTTTAGAATAGAAAACAAACCCTTTGAGGTGACTGGATAACTACGGTGGGAAATGCTAGTTTATTTAGGAATTAGGAATAACTAGGACCCTAATCTGGAGAGGAAATTTGCATATATTTTTAAGTAGTTTTTTTTCCCCTTGATATTATTGATTGCATGCTATCTGCTGCAACAAATGCTTCTAGAAAGTGCTCTATTTCCTATGTGTACAACCACTTCTGTAAAGATGGTGGCTGTCTGGCAGTGGCTGCCTTCATATGTAGAAATTATAGCAAACATTATAAACTCACTTTTAGGTTTTATGATTTTATCAAGTATAAAACTATAAATATATGATGCCTCAAGCATTGGAAATGTAAAATTAGGAAATTGTGGATTAAGTGTGCATTCCCCTTTCTGAAATTATAACCTGGATTATATGTAGAAATTATAGCAAACATTATAACCTCACTTTTAGGTTTTATAAGTATAAAACTATAAATATATGATGCCTCAAGCATTGGAAATGTAAAATTAGGAAATTGTGGAATAAGTGTGCATTCCCCTTTCTGAAAATCCATTATCCACATTGTGCATTTGCCCTTGCAAAGATTCCTTCAGTGGCTAAGATCAACCGGAAGATTTATATAATATTATAGTTTTAACCTCCAAGTGCTGGCAGAGTGGCCATGTGTATGTCAGGACTCAGGATAAGATTCTGCTTGTGAAATTTAGGATTATGGGCTTTTCCTTTGTGAGCACAGTAGAATTTCTTGGGGTATAAAGTGGGGATGAGGAATCTTTTCTGAGACCCTCAGGATATATATAGATATTCATTTTCCTTTGTGGTATAACTGCCTACGCATTGGAGTCCTCTTGAAAGAGTGGGCTTATAAGTTAGAAGCATAAAGGCTATAGCCCTTTGGTTTGAAGTTCAGATTTCTTTGCAGATTAATCTGACAACTTGTGATGTGCAATGGTGATACTAACTGTCTATACTGAAAATCAAAAGCTAGGTTTTCAAATATTCTGGAAACTAGTGTTGTTGACCAGTGACTGGAAGTGATAGACCACAGTTTTCTATATAATTTGCATTAAAAAATCTCTTGATTCGTGTTCTGCAATTCAATCTGTGTCAAGATTGTTTCTATGGAATGCATGACCTCTTCAATGCTCATGCTTAATAACTTTGTTTTTTTGTGATCCATGAAATTCTCTCATGCCCACAGCAATCACTCATCATAAAATTTCATATGATATTTTTTCTATTTAAAATGATTTCCGTAGTTTTGACATTCACATTTAAGCAAATAAACGATGTCCTAGTTTCATTAATCTAAAGTTTAATTACTGTGTTAGGATGGATTGGTATTATTCTTATACATATGTTGTAATTATATGCTATTATCTTTGTCAGGTCAAACTTCAAACGTCTGAACTATAGTGGATTTGTTACTGCAATTCTAGAGAGAGGTGATGAGATTATATGTGCTGCATCTATCAGGTAAATTTCTACTTAAATTTTAGATTTCCTTTTAAATGCTTTCATAAGCAGTCAATAATTAGCATATGTGCAGGGTGAAGTTTAGATATGGTTATTCTATATTTTGTTGGGGGGGGGGAACAATGATTTTTTAATTTCCTTTGGTATTTGACTTCAAATGGATGGTTTAAGGTTTTTCGTATTTGTTTCAACTGCCATCTTCGTAGAAAAAAAACAGGATATAGGTAATTTTCACCAAGATGTAATCAATATGATCTTTCTTTATATGATTGTAAATGGATTAGTTGGTGGACTTTCGAGAACGGAATCTGCTATTAATCATTTGAACTTCAGGAGTTAAAACCATCAATCTATGATGCATGGGTACTCCTAAACAGTTGCTGTATTTGTTTCTGGTACATATCCGGTACTGGTATTTATTGGATACTCATTGGTGTATACCCAAGAATCACTTATCACTCAAATACAAGTTAGTCCATATAAAACACTAATTTTTGTTACTAATTGATTTTGTTTGCTACTAAATTGAAAAAGTGGCTACTTCTCTTCCTTCGAAGCTAGATATTTTTGCTTACTTGAATTAGAAGATTATGATAATTATATCTCTGTTATGATTTAATTGTTTTATTGTTTTCGTTTTCATATTTCTATATTGTAAAGAACCTTGAAGAACCTTGGGATACACCACCCCAAAAGCTAGCTCAAAGGGTGGGAGTGCCCAAAGCCTTATAAACTTCACATTAGTTGCTCATACAACCAATGTGGGACTATATATCTCAACACGTCCCCTCACACGAAAGCCTATTGGGCTTGAAGAGTTGACAATGCAACAGGCCCAACCTACCTGTGCTAAGAAATGCCACAAGAGAAAGTGAGGGGCGGCGAGGCTCTGATACCATGTAAAGAACCTTGAAGAACCTTGGGATACACCACCCCAAAAGCTAGCTCAAAGGGTGGGAGTGCCCAAGGCCTTATAAACTCCACATTAGTTGCTCATACAACCAATGTGGGACTATATATCTCAACATATATAATATATCTGCTCTACCCGAACCTTAGCTTTAAGAATGTTTTCCGTACCCTGTACCCGGTATCCATGCAACTTAGCCATCTATTTGTTATATTTGGGTCTACTGTTGCAGAACGTTCATAATGTAACACTAACATCCTGTTGTTAGGAATTACCTTGTTTGGTGTTTTGAAATATTCCCTTTGTGAAGTTCACTTATTCATCTATTCATCTGTGATAAGATATAGAAAGGGCAACTTGGTGCTATTAAGCTTCCGCTGCTTTGCATTTGCAAGAAGTTGATAATATGAATTGATTAGTTGAACATGTGACCTTTGGGTCACATGGAGAAATACCAACTGTTGTGCTAAGGCTCCCCTTCATCTTAAATAAGATATCATAATCATTAACTCTGTCCTTGGTTTTCTGTTAAAATGCAATTTCCCTTGGCATAGCTTTACTATCCCCCCTACCCAACAAAAGAAAAAGCCATTAACACTACAATTTGTGAAGTTTTTTTTTTTTTTTTTTCTTTTACCGAAGGACGAAGTGAGATTTTTATTCTGCTGAAAGTATTTCAATTCATCACATAGGATCCATGGGAACCAACTAGCAGAGATGCCTTTTATTGGTACCCGCTATATGTATAGACGACAAGGAATGTGCCGCCGGCTTCTAAATGCCATTGAATGGGTAAGTTCAGAATTGTTATATTTGTCTCTCTCTGTTTTTTTTTTGGTAAATATCTCTCTCTTTTTTAATTGCACAAATTTTGACTTGCTCATTATTTAAGCCACACGTAACTTTTTAAATTTGTTGCTTTTCCTTTTTTGAAATTCTGTTCTGTTAGCTTGTAATTATTCTTTTTTCTGGGTAGTATTGCTTCTGTCACATTTGCAAAAGTAAATGATCCAGGGTCTGTTTGATTTGCTAAAAAATACAGAACAACACATCACAAAAAGATTGTATGTGTTTGATTGTTCAAATAGTACAAGTACCGGACAAAAAGCAACTCAACGGACAACACAAATATCTATATTTTTGTTACCCTCTAAACTAAGTTACAAAATCTTGCCCACAGCACAAAATGAACAAAAGACTAATATCCCCTACCTCTTGAGTATCCCAGCTTTATTATGTGTAAAACAATGCACAACACATACATAATGTATTTTGCTTTATTATATTCATGGATAGCACAAAGTTTTTAGTCCCGTACATTGGTTATCAAACAACTAACTTGTGACTCAATCACTGTGTTGTACAGTTCTGTTTGTGCTGTCCTTCAATATGTATCAAACGCTATCCTAGTATCTGTGGGCTTATTACCTTAAGGGTGGGCTATTGTTTTTGCTGAATGAGGAAAAATTGGACATTTAACATGATTTGCTTAATACCTTGTTTTTTGTATTTGGAAGTTTAATTAAGACTAACAAAGGAACTGATATAAATTCCATTTGCTTTTGTTTCTAGAAAGTGGATAAAATGAAAGTAGATTTTATTGAGTGCTTTACTTTTTCATCTTAATATATGTATGTGCTGCAATGAATAGATTTTTTGGTATAAATTGCATTGAGCTTCGCCATCGGAGGAAGGGTGAGACTAATCTCCCATTCGAGGAGAGAGACACGTCCTCTGGCCTCCAAATTTTTTTCAAGAATTTGCTTGATGGAGGGTTTAAACCCCTGGACCCAAACAAATCCTTGGAAGCTCAGTTGTCAACTGAGCTACCCTTGGGGCTTATGAATAGAGTGCTTTAGATGACACAGAATAATAAAAAGAAAATATTATTATATAGTTGGCAAAATCTACTTTTATTTTTGCTATTAACTATTTGGCAAAGTCAAAACGAGTTTTAGCTTTTAAGGACCCAAGAATAGATGGTTAGTCTTGTCGTAGGACAGAATCATGTTGCATTTTGATAGATGATACGTTATATGTTGGTAAACTTTTAGGTGTGCTTTTGTATAGTAACGTCTTTTTGTTCTCAATTTCTTTTATTTTATATGGTTTTATTTGGACCTTTCATTTTGCTGACCTCAAAACTTATGTTTTTCTGACTGTTACCAGGCACTCAGCTCCTTAAATGTTGAGTTATTGGTCATACCAGCTATCTCAGAACTCAGAGAAACTTGGACTTCTGTTTTTGGGTTTCAGCCACTTGAATTAACAAGCAAGCAGATAATAAATAACATGAATCTGTTGGTATTCCCTCACGTAGATATGTTACAGAAGAAGATAAGTAAGCATAAATTTGCTGATGAAAATCTGATTCCTACAGAAGGTACATTTTCCTAGACATTTGACGTGTCCTTTTATGTGGTTGTGTATGCTTGGAACTGACATCCTTGCTATCCTTTTTCTTTCTCTGATTATTTGAACTTGTTTTTTGAACAATGCAATTTGTTACAGTTTCCAATTTTAAGACTCATACAATATACAAGGTAGCAAATAATCGTGATCAGGCGGACTCAACTGGATCTGAGTTGAACACTTCTACTGGGACCCCTCACTCTAATGCATGGCAGATAAATAAAACCATGTGTGTTAAATCTGGTTGTCGGCTTCCTGAGAGCTCATTGAATAAAGCACCTGACATTACTAGCAACACTGTGCACCATTGTAAATCTCCAAACGATGTCGCAGGGCAAGTTGTATGTCAGGCTGTTCATGAGAATTTGGCGGTGGAAAACAAAAGTACTGCAAATGCCCGTGATGATACTTGTTGCCAAGCTGAAGACATGAGTACATATAAGAATACTAGTGTCGTCATACCGAAATATGATGAGAAGCCAATAGATTTGGATAGCCAATCGAAAAATCGCCGTGTTCCTTATGAGGAAAGTCAATGTCTCACTGTGTCTCGTGTTAGCACTGAAGCTACTGAAGGACATTATGTTGGTACTTCGTTGGAGGTTACTGAAAACTTAACCGATGAGATGAAAGTAGCAAATGAGGTTGTTTCGGATAACAAGAATGATGAAAATTCTGCACACTGGGGGGCAGAAAGTATTCCTCTTGACTCACAAATTGTGTTTAGTACAAGGGAATCAAAAGATTCTGTTGACAGTATTAACCATGGTCCACATAAGATTTCGGACTGTTGTGAACTGAGAAGCAAGACTGATATTGTTCAACCGGACTTTCTAGGATCAAAAGAAGTACATGCTGATGAAGCGGAAATGTGCTCTGCCAGAACACCCAATCTTAAGACAAACATAAATCCTGGGAATGACCAATCCATAGTGGTATCTTCAGGTATTTGTGAGAAGATTGTAGATGGTGTCAATGAGAGGAGTAAAGCATCAAGTGTAGCTGAGGCCAATTTCCTTCCTGCTGATACAGACGTAGTTCCCAGTAAAAATCCTTGGATGGAGGAGTCTTCAGAGGTAGATGAGCCTGATTCGCAGGTTGATCAAACTGCACGGAGCAATGCTCCATCCTTGTGGAGCCCAAACACTGCTTCTGGTGCGGCTCTTCCCTGTGCATCTGGTGGCAATACTTCATGTGGCAACACTGAGGTGATAGTTCTGTCAAACCAAGCAAGTTGATTTCTGTGTTCCATTTGTAGTTAGTTGTAAGTAGGTTATCTGTTGGTGGTATTCATTGACACAAGGAATCTACCAATACATTCTAGACGGTCCTAGGTATCTTGTCCTTAAGGAGGTGAGGGCCACCTACTTAATGTGACGAGATTTGTCGTTGTAGCAAAGTGGTTGTTAGAGCTGGACGATGTTACCTTAAGACAAAGATGTCCGGAGGTTACCTCCATTTTTGGGAGGGCGGAGGAGGGGTCAGGGGAGTAGCACCATGAGGACTGTCGTGTATTTTGTTCTCCCCATAGTTATTGTGGTATTGCCATGTAAATGGAGTAGGGCAAAGCTTTCGTTATAATCCTAGTTTTTATCTTCTCTCTCTTTTTGGCGTTGCAGTTCAAAAATTCAATTCTCTCTTTATTAACTTGTTTTTAGGCGGTAGACATTGACACAATTAATAATATCAAGGTAAATGGTATAATTATTAAAATGATACTACCTTAATTCATGTTGACATGATTTGACACTCTTAATTTCCTTAAAAAAAATTGATAATTCCAAAACAAACTTTTCTTTTTATGTTTCCGAATACTATCATTTCTTTTATAATGATTTTCAGAAGTGAAAGGGAAGGTAACTATAGTTCCATAAAAATGAAGGGTTTCAATATTTTTTCATGTTATAGACATATTATGTATGGAGTTCACATCTATTAAAAGAGGGTTCGTTTTTTTTTAAAATTATTTTAAATAATTTTGTCTAATGTTAATTGAAATGACATCGTTTTAAGATGAAGTGCGTTTGTAATTTTATTTTATTTCAGCGATATAAGTCTATATTATTTTAATTTTTTAATTTTTTAATTCTAAAACGATATCTTTTCGGTGAATATTAAACAAATTTATCTAAAATAGCATTAGATATTTTTTTTCAATTTAAAAAAATAAAAGTAAAAAACATTGCATAAAAATCAAAATATTACCGGGAGAAAACAATTCTCCTAAGAAAATGTTTTCCTAAAAATCAATCCATAATATTGTAATTAAGGGTAAATTTATAGTTCGACTCAAATTTTTTTCTTTTTAAAAGTGATACTTATTTGTGGTGTGTGTGTTTATATATATATATATATATATATATATATATATATATATATATATATATGTTGATATTTGTCATTTTAAATGACATAAGATATGTCATTTTAGGAGAGAGATAGACACAATGAATGAAAATCATAGGAGAGAAAGTGAGTGCTTTTTTTAATTTAATTTTTAAATAATTTTTTTTTTATTTTGTGTCTATCTCTCTCTTAAAATGACATAACTTTGTGTTATTTAAAATGACAAACACTTTTTCCTATATATATATATATATAGGTAAAATCATTTTTGCAGTCGTTTTACGTACAATAATGACAGGTGTATGATTATGATTCCCCACATTTAATGCTTTCATCCTTTGTATGGTTATGATTTTTCGCATTTAATGATTTTAAGTAGGGGTGTTCATCAACCGATCCAAATCGATTCAAACCGCGGTAACCGAACTGAAAAACCGATAATCGAATAAACCAAAAACCGAAAAATCGAAAACCGGTTAAAAATCGCAAATTTTAATTAGATTGGATCGGTTTTTGGATGGGTTGATGAAAACCGATCCAATCCAAACCGATCCAATATATTAATTTTCCTTTACGTACTTGGGTATTTCCCTAATCATAGCCTAAAAATTTCTAAACCCAAGACTCATTAACTCATCAACTAAACTCAAGAAAAAATCTAGTCATATCTCATCAACAAAATTTTATCTTTGTTCATATCTCATTGTCAAAATTCAAAAAATTATATTATAGTTTACTAATGCTTTTGTATTTCAAAAAAAAAAAATTACAAAGCCAATATATACAAAAGATGTTATTTGCACAATAATCATGAAATAAATTTTAAGATTTTCAAAAAACCGAAAATCAATCCAATCCAAACCGAAAAAAATTGGATTGGATCGGATCAGATTTGAAAAAAAATCAAAACCGTATGGATGATTATATGATCAAACCGAAGGGATTGGATCAGATGATTTTTGCTTCCAAAACCGATCCAATCCAGACTGCGAACACCCCTAATTTCAAGTATATATATGACAAGTATTTGAGTGCTGCACGTACAGCAGCTGCAGAAATGTAAACCCTATATATATACTGCAGGGTTATATTAGTCTTTGTCATTATATTTTTTTAATCTTATAACCCAAAACAACGTCGTTTTGAGCTCACTGGAGATAACTTTATCTCCGGTGACTGGAGAAATACTTTTCCCATATATATATATATAATTGAATTTGATGAGTTAGTGCAAGAATCTTACACTGTCATTTAATGTATGTTGTCAGGTCTTGTAATGACTTCGATAATACATAATATGGCATGTCAGCTTCATTTCATTAAATTAAATTATGTCAAGCTCATTAGATGATGTGATAATATATGGCAAAAAAATTAATTTAATGCTTTTTAATAAAATAATGACGCATTTATTACAATTTTAAAAATAATTATGGATCTACTGCACAATGTGACGCCCAAAAAGGGCGTCACATCGTGCATCCTATATATTCCCTTTCCACTCTTACAAACTCTTCACAACTCTTCTCTCATCTTATATCTCTTCTCTACCAAAATTCCTAACATCATACATACATAATCTTTCATCTTTAATTTAGTATTTGAATTTTATTTCTTATTCTATTTAAGAATGAGTTCAAATTCTAATTCTGTTCGTGTTATGTTATATTACAATGGAAGAAAGGTAGAAGGTCGACGTGGTGTCATGTTTGAAGGTGAAAAAAGGCCGACACGTATCCAACGCAACACAACCATTGGTGAACTGCATCAGAGAATTCGGCAGAAGTTAAGTCTTCAAGCCAACCAATGTATCACTCAGATCATGACAAGGTTATGGCAATGTGATAAATACATTAGTTTGCAAGTGGTTGACGATGAAGACGTTGAGATGACAATGGAAGAATTTTTCAACCAGTCAAGGACAGATTTTCTGGAGTTGTACGTCGACATCGCCGCAGCGGAGAATGTTCCATTACCGGTGAAGTCAGTTGATTTAAATTCTCCCCGTTTTCCATCAACGTTTGCCGCTCATGCGTCTCCAGTTGGTAACATTTCAGAGGGAGATCAAAATGATCCAACTTGGGAAATGCACGACGAAGACGATGATGAAAACATCGCAATGGAAGAACGTCTTCTGGCGGAGGATGCTAGTGCTTCAGATGGAGATGAAGGTAGTGAGATGAGTGCGTCTCAAATGCCAGTCTACCATGAACCAGTGGTCGCGCAAATGCCGCAATTGCATGACGTTGTGTCTGCCCCTTTATGTAATCATCAATGTAATTGATATAATATGTATATACCTGAGTTGATACCTGATTTAATATCTGATTTAGGAAGTTTGTATTAAAGACTTTTAATTATCAGATGCAAGTGACAAAGCTGTTATTCCTTTTTGGCAAGGAATTCCGTATTATTCTTACATTGATTGGAGTTATCGGAGTGAACAAGAATCATGCACTGATGGTACGGTTTCAAGATCGGGTTCAATACAAGGTCTGTGGCAACTGGGTGACAAGTTATTTGCGAACCAAGAATTTGCAACAAAAAAGATGTCCAAATGGCACTTAAGCACAACCTGATTAGGGAGCATCAAGAAGAAATTGTAATTGAGAGCACGCCTGCAAAGTTATCCATGAAATGTTGTGCGTACGATAAAGGTTGCCCGTGGCGCATTAGGGCGATCAAACCAGTGTTTGGTGAAAGGGCACATTTCCCAGGGACATAGACAGCTCGATGCAGACGTTATTGTGGATCTCGTTATAGGTACATATTTATTTTCAATGACATGTCAACATTTTCAAGCCCAGGTATGATGTACATGCTAGGATCAGTAGGCTCTGCATCCGATGCAGAACCCGAAGATGATGATGAATCAGCCATGACCCTAAACTCACCATAATATAAAACAACAATGAAATTAATCACATGTAATAACACATTTTATGTACTAATTAATTAAGCAATGCCCTAATTTATTATCAACAAAATTAAGCATAAACCCTACGTTTTTACTAGAATCGACATTAATGAAATATTATTAATACGTAGTACAGTCATTTATTTGTAATTAAATTATAATAAAACATTGGACACAAATTAAATCATACTGACATAATACTTAACCCTAAGTCACTAATAACTTAATAAATATATACTAATCATCACACCTAACTGACTACAAAATTATCAATACACTCTCGCATTAATAACATCATACAAAATTTACGAAGTCACTATCACTATTTTCTAAACCACTATCACAAAATAACATCATAAATATGTATTAATAATCATAACTACGTAACTATATCATTACAACATTCATAGCATGGTACAAAATTTCTAAGTGACTATCCTAATGTTTTAAGTCTCTAATATACGATAAATCCTAACATGTTCACAAGGTAGCACTGTAATATAAACGTATACATAGCAAGTATTACGAACTTACCTAAGTTGGCAGAGCTTCGCTACGAAAATCTTCGCGTTCGGTCGGGAGCACAAACCGTGGTTAGAGAGAGGTGAAATAGTGAGAAGTGAAATGGTAAAAAAAGGGGTATATATAGGGCACACATGTGACGCCCCATTGGGGCGTCTTCCCTAAGGGTGAGACGCCGCAATGAGGCGTCACATTGTGCAATAAATGTGTAATTATTTCCAAAACTGCAATAAATGCGTAAATATTTAATTAAAAAGCATTATTTAAATTTTTTTGCCGATAATATATTACTAAATGATGACATAAATTTTTTTATACTTACAATATAATCAATTAATTTTTTTTCTATTTAACTATTAACTAAAATCATATATTATAGATATAAAAAGAATTCCAAAATGACTTAGAAACTTTTAGCTAAAACATTATATATCTTTTTTGGTAGGGAAAACATTAAATATTTAATTATTAAGAAACATATTTAAAAATATGGGGGAAAATATTTGTTATTTTAAAGGACACAACTATGTGTCATTTAAAATGAGAAATATTACCAACAAAATCGGGCACAATTGGTAGATAGTTGGGTCCAGTGGCGGACCCAGGATATTTTTTTTTATGTCTGCACATTTAGGGCGGGGGTTCGGGGGCGCTGGCCCTGATTTTTTATTTTAAAGATCATGATCATGATCCAATTTTTGCTTCCACTTCAAAAGTAAAGCTTTGGTGAATCAACCAAAGTTTTAAGGAAATAATAGATAATGATAATTAAAAAAAATAAACACCACAAAAAGATATATGTAAAATATAGTATAATTGTAGGAGTTAATCGATCAAAAACTCACCTTTGCAATGTCTATTTGATCCAAAGTTGACCACTTTACCAAATCGTGGTACCTCAGTTGGCGCATGAGAGCTAAGCAGGTGGGGGGTGAGAGCATCTGTTCGAATCTCTCCAGTACCACCTTTGGGAGGGGTTTAAAGCCTTAATCCTGGACCCGCTCCAAATCGGATTAGTTGCGAAGCAATGAACCAATTGGAATATTTTCAAAAAAAGTTGGCCACTTTTGTTTCACAAAAAATATAAAAAATCGCGTGCGATTCTCCTCCACTTGATGAAGATTGAATTTCATGAATGTTGATGTTTATTAAGATTTGGAGCTAATAAGGTTTATAAAAAAAAAGGAGACAAAGCAATGGGCTAGGGTTTAAGCTTTAAGCTTTTAATTGTAGGGGTTGATTGGGTTGGACATATTTTTACCTTTTTCCTTTAATCTTCCTTTTTCTTTTTTTTCTTTTTCTTTTTAGAGTAAATAACGTTTTGGGTCCCTAACAAAAAATACGGTCCCCACGTTAGTCCCTTACTAAAAAAAAAAAAAAATTACTCGTCTGGTTCCTAAGAAATTCCAAATGGACCCATTTAGTTGAAATTGTGGTCCCTCACAAATTCAAAAAAGATCCAAATTAGTCCCTCAAAAGGACTAAAATGAGTCCACTTTGAATTTCTTAGGAACTATACGAGTAATTTTTTTTTGTAAGGGACTAAAGTGACGGCCGTGTTTTTTGTTAGAGACCCAAAATGATATTTACTCTTCTTTTTACTTGACTTGAATCACCCACCCCCTGTGTGAATCCCCCCCCCCCCCCCCCAATTTTGTGTCTGCAAGTGCAGACAAATGCACCCACCTGCGTCTGCCATTGGCTGAGTCCCTTAAGCATGCTGATAGGGATTCGATCCTTGATCATGTTTATAGAAACTTTGTTGTTAGAGGTAAAATTTACTAATCCTGGAAAGGGAGATCCCTCGAGGAAACTCAAAAAAAAAAAAATGAGAAATATTTTTTTCCAAAAAATATTATCTAGAAGAGCTGGATGAATAATAATAATTTAAATAATTCTCTCAACTATCTCTCTCCATATATAACTAGACTACACTCTCTTAAGAATAACATATATCATACCAACAAAAATAACATATATCTTGTACCAAAAAAAATAAAAAATAAAAAATTAATTTCTTCTTTAAATTTTAAATTTTAAGTTTTTTAATTTAATAATACAAATTTTAAAATTGTAATAATATTTTTTTAAAATATGCATTTCTTCTTTTAGTTTTTACTTTTCATATAAAACCGATATTAATTATGCTTATTTTTCTAATAATTTTAAATATTTTTATATTAAATTATATTTTTAAAAGTTCATTTGAATTTAAAAATACATTTGCAATGCAATAACCTACTTCAGATTATAATAAATTCTTTTTTTTTTGGTACATATAATAAATACTTTACTCTTGATTTGATTAGTTACACATTTTTGTATCCTATATTCCTATCATGACTTCTTCTAAAATTGGATTTGAAACAACCACCAAAAATCTGGGAGAGTTTATATTTACAAATTTTTTTGTTTACAAATTACACTAAGTACGACCGGTCATACTTTGATCATGCAGTGTACGATCGGTCGTACTTAGTGTAATTTGCAAAATAGAAATTTGTAAACGGATTCTATCCCAAAAAATAAGGGGATTAAGTACAAAAATTTTAAATCCCGGCGACAAAGAACTAGCGTGTTCGTCTACAGATATCTCCACGTGATTCAATATCACAAGTTTGTATTTAGAAAACCAAAAAAAAAAAAAAAAAAAAAACCCCTATAAATCTTTATCTTTGTCTGTTTTACTTTCTTGTGCTGTGCCTCTGGCTTCACTGGAAATACAGCAGCTATAGTGATTTCTTTGCAGCCATATCAATTAAGGAACTATATCTATATAGAAAAAAAAAAAAGGAAAGGAAAATGCCAAAAAAAAATTCAGAGTGAATCTTCAGCATGGCTTATTCCCACATTCATCTCAATAAAAAAAAAATAAAGAATTCAGAGATTAAAAAAAGATGGAAAGGAGGTACAAAATTTAGATTCCTTGATTCTGTCTGTTTGCTAATTCTTATTTTACTGATCTGCATTTGACCCTTCCTGAGCCACTCTTTGTCTTTATGCAACGATTCTGCGCAATTAAAAGACGATCAAGTGATGAGTTGTTCTTGTTTATTGATAGGGACTTGTCACTATTTTCACTGCCCAACAACTGTAATATTAATTTATCAAAGCCAATCAATATTATATACTCACAGAGCAGCCAAATTTGACAAGTTGAGATTTAAGAGGAGACCATAGGCATAGACAGAATTTGCTACTCGCAATTACATCTTTTTAACTTTGATTGGGATAATATGACATGAAAACATTCATAGAGAGGGTTTCCTAGCTTTTGTATTCCATCTTCTATTTAATTATGCTAATGTTCTTGAACTATTGTTTTCTGCAGCAACAATACCTTCAACCACCGTCATGTAGCAATCAGTAAAATTACCGAAGTGCAAAATTAAATGGAATCCTAACAAACACGGCATGTAATTTCAACGACCACAAAAGTCTAGGAATTTCATGTTTCTTTACGGGGCGTTTGGTTGAAGAAATTTTTTTGGAATAGTAGGGAAATATAATAGATAGAGAAATGATTGGAAAGATAGATAAAGTGAGATAGGTAAAAAAATGTAAAAAAACAGTTGTTTGGTGGGAAAAAACTTTACTGGAAAAATTAGGTAACTTTATGAAATCAACAGTGCATTAAAAGCCAGATAACCGGTTTTCCGAAAAATCTCACCTTCAAATTGGGTTTCTAAACAGTGCGGATATCTATTTTTCTCATAAATACATACAAATTGGATAGATGAGTTTTTGGTGAGAATACGTTGAAACAAAAATGGTGTTTCTAAAAGTGAGAAACATAAATATCCGCTGAAAAGTTCCGAACCAAACACCACCTTATAATTTCTTGACACGTACTCCCAGTCACATGTATTCTGAACACATTAAAGGTTTTACACATAATTGACTAGATATCCTACAAAATATTGTGATTCAATTCCTTAGATCTCAAATTAAGCAGGGTGCCATTTACTCAAAAGCTCTCTGCCCCAAAAAAGAAAGAAAGAATAAAAAACAATATTTCTATTATATATAACAAAAGAAGAAGAAAAAGAAAATGGAATTGATTGATAAGGAGGATTGTGATAGATGGACAATGAATGCATGGTAGAGGGGACCAAGTTTGAGTATAGAGGTTCCCCACCCTAAAGGGAAAGAAGAAAAAAGGTTTTCACTACGTAGTACTTACTAGTTATTACTAACCAAATGAAGAAACAATTAATGTGATGTAGCAGATTATGTAATTAATGATTGTACGAGCCATCTACACTACATTTTGTAGATCAGTTGACAATCCAGACCGAGTAAGTAGAGAGAAATTTGGATTCGATTTCTACCAAATATAACTTTGGAGGAGGGACGAAATTTTTTAATTGTGATTAAGTCCTGATTTCGTTCAAAAAGTTGAAGATTTGTGGAGATACCATGGCGCTGACTATTATCGTAGAAGTAATTAGGGTCTGTATAACAGAAAAAAGTTTACATCCCTCGTGAATCATGATTCATAACTTTAACATACACAGCCACCAACGGCAGCAGCGAGAGGAGCTCTGGTCTAGAATGACATGAGGCTAACGATGAGATCAGCAAAAGCACCAAGAATGAACTTGTGGTTGCTCTTTGGGTTGAGCGCAAGATAACAAAGAAGAAGCTCGTGCAAGATGTTCCAATTGGACTTCACGTCCATCAGCTCGGGACGCGCCTCCACCATCTCCTGCATGGATCGCCGGAAGTCCAGATAAGGGTCAGGCGAGTAGGTCGGCACCGCCACGCTGCCGTTGAACATTGCCTTCTTCTTCTTCTTGCAACCATCGGCGCCACCTGGCGGCGCCGGTCTGGATGTGTTGGTTTTTGTGTATTCAATGAGGGAGTTGGAGCGGCCAGGAGAGGAGAAGAAGAAGCGTTTGGAGGCAAAGGCGGTGGCGAAGTCGGCGGGTTCGGGTTCGGGTTCAAAGGAAGTGGAGGTGGTGGAAAGGGAAGAGGAGCAAACAGAGTGGTCCATGGTTAAGGTAGGGTTATAGAGAGAGTTGAAGTTTTTAATCATAATTGAAGGCGATGGAGATGGAGGGTTGTGATGAATATGATGAGGTGAGGAAGTTGTAGCAGTGACAATGGGACTCATAGGAGGAGATTTTGATTCAGGAGTGGAATTTGAGAAACACATGTTGAGGTTGAGGTGCCTCAGATTTCTCGTGTTTGGCATATCTGTTCTGAAGGTGGGAAGGGAAATGAAGGTGCCTAGAACCTCTTTGCTTCATGATTATACATATTATTTATTTATATTGCATGTGTTGAAACTGGTTCTGGACCCTCTTTTTCTTCGACCAATTCTTCACTTTTTGTATAAGGAGCGTGACTACACGCTTTAAAGAATTTTTTTTTATGTAAATATGAGTATGTATCCTTTCGTATTAAAATTTCACATAATCTGATAATGTGAAAATTTTGTATCTATTTCTATTTCATTATTGATATTAAATCTCACTTATTAAAGGCATACATATGAAGAAAGATAGATACAAAAATTTCATATGAATAAGTCATAATATTGTAATTAATTGACACATTTTTTCATCGAAAGAAATAGTATGATATTGAAGATTAGTTAATAACACCTCGATATAAGGCCATAAGTTAAGGACGCGTAAAAGCCTATAGTCAAACCATTCGGGTTTTCGGTATACCTTTGTTTGGGGTGAAAGCAAGCTGCACATGGGGAACGATAGAGAGGTATCAAACAAAAAGCAAAACACAAACCAATAAGAAACCTTCAAGTGGTAATTTTGTTTTATCGGATATACAAACTGAATAGTTTATCCCCACGCGAAGGTTAAAACCATTGATAGAAAGCGGGATTCCAAATAGTATAAGACAATATTGTTATGGACTGGAATAGTCATGGTTGGTCCATTTCATGCACAGATCTACTATAAAATCAACACGTAGGAAAGTGATGTATCGGACGGCTATCATTTCATTATTCTTGCAAGATATCACTATAAAGACTTGTCTCAAATTTGGTCCCACTCCCACCCTATTTTCACAGTCTCTGCATATATTATATTAAGGACATAGTAATTACATACGTAATAACATTACTCAAGTAATAAACAAGTTTAATTTAAGCTGTTGAAAGGCCTTTTATAACGTTAGGGGGTCTGTGCTCGTAATAAAAACCCATTTTAAGGGAGACAAACCTTTTATAACAAGCCTTAATTCTGGATCCGTCCCGAATCGGACTAGTCGCAAAGTGATGAACCGATTGAAATATTTTCGAATATTTCCAAAAAAAAAAGGAGACAATCTTATCATCTTGAATGAGGTCAGTCATAACACACAAAAAAAGTCTAGAAACTAAATACCCAGAAAAAATACTTACATATACATCATATCTTTAATATCTATTTTTTTTTAAAAAAAAAAAGAAAAAGAAAAAACTCTGCGTGGTAGCAAATATGTTATTATTGAATAAGTATATTTTATTTACAAATTTTTCGTTTACAAACTAGATTTTAAGATTTGATTTGCTCAAAGAATTATGGGAATCCACATGATCGCAATGCCTTGAAAAGGGGAGAGACACCAACCCAAAACTGATAGGCTTCAGCGCTGAAGGATGGTCCAACCAACCTTACTATTTCAGCTTTCAGGCTTCACAGAAGCACGTGGTGGGGTATCTTACTTAAAAATTAGTTAATGGACGAAACATTTTGCTTTAGTTTCCGTTCAGGATACGATGCCATTCATTCTGGTCACCATAACAATCTTCAATTCATATTTTATGCCATGCAGTGAGAAAATATTATATAGCTCAAAGTTAGGTAGCCTTCCTTCTTGACTCTACGATATCATTTTCATTTTTATCTGGAACAAGATCAATGTTACATCCCGAACTTATTAATCATTTTGTAGAAGTTATTGGGCCAATAATGTTTCAAGAAATTCGGAATATGAATTCAAAATGGACAAGATAAAATCAAATCTTCCGTTAGCAGAGTTAAAGCATCAATTTATCATCAGTAGATAAACGGCATATATTTAAATACTCTGCTCTATTTACCAAAAATAAAATAAAAAATACTCTGCTCTTTGCACATCTGTTCGTCCTTCAATAATTTATAAGTTTCCATGCTTTTTCAAATGTATATTACATTAAAAATATCTCGTTCGTTTCGTCCCTTATTTCATATAATTAACTAATGACAAAAGATCTTTTCATTTGCTCCCTTGACACACCACCAACAACCAAAACAAGCTATATATCATCATCATGTTTGCTGCAATGAGGAAAGATAACGTTTTCTTTGTTAAATAAAAAATGTGAGAAAAAGTATCTTATTTCACTTTAGTCAATTTTATCTAATAATTTCATTTTGGGATGAAAATTTAAAAAATTAAAATAATAAAGACTCTTATAATCATGAAATAAATTAAAATTATAAATATACAATAATTTTCATCTCAAAACGACGTTGTTTCAGTAAACATTAAATAAAATTATCTAAAATAACTTAAAAAAAAAAGCACATGAATTGACTTAATACAGATCAATGTACTTTTTCATCTACATTCTTCTAATAAAATTAACTTTTGTGATATTTTTTTTTTCTCTTCTTTGCTAAAACTAAAAATAAATCTAACGATCAACTAATATGATAATTAAGGAAACCAATTCCTGTACCCAAAAAAATAGAAGTAAACCAATTAGTTTTTGCCAAATTCAGAGGTTTAGATGTTAGAGAATAGTATAAACCATTAAAAAGGGCCTCACCCAATAGCTTAAGTTTTTGGGTTGAATTGATTCTTTACATGGTATCAGAGTCTCGATCTCCCAGCTTCGATCCTTACCGCCCTCCACTTTCTTTTGTTGAATTTCTTAGCACAGTTAGATAGAGGACCTATACATTATCCACCATTTAAGCCCAATGAGCTCTCATATGAGGGAGCGTGTTAGAGAATAATATAAATCGTTAAAAAAGCTTTCACCCAACAACTACTTTTGTTTGGGTTGAATTGATTTTTTACATTAGACATCGTTGCCCAACAACGAATCTCCGATAATTCTCAGGATAGTTAACCAAAACATCTATATATTTATGACAATAATAAATAAGAAAAAAAAATAACAAATCAAATATTTCTTTTTGGTTTCCTAAGGTATGAGTGTTACGTTAATATTCTTCATATACGAAACGAAACTGTTAAACCGTCCTGACATGATAGTTCAACAAATCTCTATTCCTCTCTTAGTTTCTGTCCTTGCGAATTTTCATTCAAACATGCGTAAATTGTATTTGTTTACAACTGATCATAGTTCAAGTGTCTAAACTGCAATTGTTTACTCTAATTTGTTCAATTTTTTATTTCCAGCAATATAATTAAGTACGATGCCAATTAATGCGGTTCGTGGGTTCTGAATAGAGTTTACGAGGCCATATGAGATATGAAAATTGATAAATATATTAAATTCCCTAATTTCTTTTCACCACAAAATTATTGATTGTAGGAGTGACATGGGTCTTCGCCAGTCCTACTCAGTCAGAGTAAGCATGCTGCAGTTGTAGCTTACAAAGTGCTTAATTAGTGAAATGCCAAGAAATCAGATCACATAAATATATATTCTTATGAGCTGTGGCTAGCATATGAATTGCCAACATAATTTGCTCTGTCCACTGACAACCTCATCAGTTCTGCACCAATTGATGCTCTACTACTGTTCCATCATATATCATATTAGTTCCAAACCGACATTTCTGAATTCTAACTGCTGGAGAAGAATTATTAAGTTCTGTACGTACTCGTAATTTGCAGAATTATTAAGTATTATTAACTTGGTGTGTGCTAACTATAATTTTATCGTTGGCGTTATGAACAAAATTGTCAATTAACACTGGGATTTGGAAAAATAAAATTATCACGATGCATGCGGGAACATCTCAATTTTTTTTATTTTTTTTATTTTGTTTGGTACAGTAGGTATCCTCATTCAACCTTCTCCGGACACCATGTCATCGGGGTACGGCCCGTTTGGGCTAGCCCCTCATTGTAACAGTGGGTGCACTAAGCTTCGCAACCGGAGAAAGGACGAGACTAATCCTCCAACCGAAGATTTTTGACTTATCCTCTGGCCCCCAAATTTTTTTCAAGAAACTGCTTGAAGCAGTGTTTGATCTCTGCACCAAGCAATCCCTTAGAAGCTCAGCTGCCAACTGAGCTGGTCTTGCGGGATAATTTCAATTTTTTGCCGTACGAAATTATGAAAGATACACGGTGTCTTTGCATGGATTAGCGTTGACTTTGTTTGATTTGGTTTCTCTATCGAGAATTCAGAGTCTAGCTAGTTTGATTAGCTAAATTAATATTTATTTATTTTTTATAAAATTTATCCCCGTAATCTCATAATTTTTCAAGCGAATTCAAAATTGAAACTCCTAAAAATAATACTGAAAACAATCGAACACGTACTTTCTAGGAAAGATCGCTCTAAATTAATATTTTTGATATCACTTTATATATTTGTTTTGTTTCATGTCCCACATAGACCACACTCAACGTGGGTCTGTCAGTGTCTATCTAATAAAGTGCGTTGTCTTGGGTTGATCATCTGTCTGTGCCTGCCATGCATTAATGCCTTTACGAGACACATGCTCTCTTATTTCTTTTTGGTAAGTAGACGATAATTGATCTGAAAATATGACCGAAATTTTTTTAGAATAGTAAGAAAATGAGATAGATAAAAAAATGATTAGAAAAATAGATAAAGTGAGATAGGTAAACAAATGTAAAAAAAAGTTGTTTGGTGGAGAAAAATTTTACTGGAAAAATTAGGTAACTTTATGAAATCAATGGTGCATTAAAAGTCAGATAACCGGTTTTCCAAAAAATCCCACCTTCAAATTGGGTTTCTAAACAGTACGGATATCTATGTTTCTCATAAATCCAGAGAAATTGGATAGATGGGTTTTTGGTGAAAAACGTTGAAACAAACATGGTGTTTTTAAAAGTCATACTTGAGAAAGATAGATATCTGCTGAAAAGCTCCCAACCAAACACCTACTGATGAACTACGCAATTTGGCAAATTGATCCACAACAGTTTTTTGATTGCCTCGTATAATGAAGTCTCAAGTTCACCATTGACTACCTTTTAATTGTGTATGTTCATGGATCGAAGCTCTCTAAGTTGCCATGCATGGATTTTACCACTGTAATTATATTCAAATACTAATTTATTTTTCCTTGTAAGTTCCCATCGCCGTGAAAAAGGATAGACGACCTCACTCCAAAAAAAGTCCTCAGCTATCGCAAATTAAAAAAGAAAATAATTTTATTTTGAAAAAATTGATTAAAATCAAATGAAACTTTTCTTGTGGTCCATTACATACCAAATTAAATGCCCATTGAATACCCAACATAATGGCCTATTAATAATCCTTTCAAAGTCTTCTCCGTTCCTATCTCTCGATGCACATATCTGGTATGATTTAATAAGTTATTTAAAATTAAACGAGGTCGGAACGAAGATAGATAAGCCTTTTTTTAAAGTATTAAACTAAATGGTTCGAATACAGAAAAAGAAAAGAAAAGCATAGTGGATTAATTAAGCATATAGTGTTTTTTTTTTAAAAAAAAAAAAATAAAGTAAGCAAAAGAAAAAGAGGTAACACACTAAGAGTACTACACATGCTTTTACAAAGAACACTCCAAAAAAAAAAAAAAAAAAACACACCAAAAACTCAGCAATGACTTCATTTATTTGTTTACTTTGATCTGCTGAACCAAGTATGCCGCCATGCCACCAGCTACCAGGAATGCTATTTATCATATTGAGAACTGGGGATCTTCACGTGTCACCCGCTTTATTACCATTTACCTGCATGCATTATACGTATCACACAAAATCATAAAATTTTAGTTATTCACTACTAATTTAGCTGTATTCTAAAAAATAAAAGAATATGTTTTAACACTTTATTATACATGTATTTCATTGCAATTTCAGTAACTAAATTTAAATTCATTATATCAAGACCTACAAGGTATAATTAAATGTAATATACAATAATTAAAATTTCTGTGGCATTTCAAATTCTTTTTTGTTGAATATTATATTTATGTAATGATAAAAAAACAATTCATTTTGGTTTACATTATGGGTAAAGTGTAATGTTGTGTCATTTTAAGAGAGAGAAAGAGATAGACAAAGGAGGAGAGAGAGTTGACAAAAAAAATAAAGGTATGGGTCTCACCTCATTGTAAGAGTGAAAGGATATAAGCTGTCTTATTTAAAAAATAAATACTTTTCAGTATACTATCGTAGGTTGTTAGGTTATGTTGTAGAGATAAAGATGGCGAGACCCACCATTGTTTTGTTTTTTGAAAACAAGCGTAGATATATACGCTATTATATTTCTTTTTTCCTTTATTTATAGTATGAAATCAAGACCAGAGGTTATTCAAGATATTCTAAGTATTTAAAGGTAAAAAAGTGTAGATATTTTTATGTTATAAGAGATTAAGCTAACTTGTTTTGATTAAGCGTGGCTGCTGCGGCGACGGATGCAGCCACACCACCAGGGGTGGTTCTCATGTCAAGTTTGTTTCTAAGCTCTGCTCCAATCACTCCCTCTGCATCTTCTCGCGTTACCGCCTTATCCGCTGGCAGCTTCTCCCTCGCATCCTGCATTCATATATACACACACATACATGCATGTAACATAATCATGTCATAGATATATATGGGAGACAAGACAAGTAATTACCGATAAGACATCAGATAATGTTGTCTTCTGTAGAGTCCGAGTGTTCCGAGTGGCTGCTGACTGGGCTGTGGCGCCCAAACCGCCAGGTTCTAGCTCATTGTTTCCGGTGGCTCTCATTTCAGCGGCTTGTATTGCAGCGGCGTCGCTTTGATCCACCGGTTTATTGCCTGCTCTTGTTACCGCAGACGCTTCAAGTGCCTCGCCAATGGTTATGGCATTTGGGTCAAGAGCAATAGCAGGAGCATTCATTGGCACATCAGGTTCCACGAACTGTCCCACAACTTGGTTCCCAACTGACTCGGTGATGATACGGTTTCCACCTGCCTTGGTTTCGGAGATGCTGACGCCTTGGTCTCTGGCAACCTCGGAGATGTCGTCGCGGCCAACGAGACCGGCGGTGGTGTTGACTGTTGCCGCGGATTGCATGACGGCGGCAGGACCGCCCTTTTGGGTTTGTCCCAACGCTTGGTTCTCTGTTGCCTGCATAAGAGCTGCGTCTCTTGGCATGATGGGTTTCGATGCCAATTCGCCTGAGACGTTGAAAACGTCGCCGTATTTGATGGGCTGTTCCTGGCTCATGACTTCGCACTTTCACAACTGATAAAACAATACTCGAAATATTTGTTGTTTTGGCTCGCTTCGGATTTGGAAGTTGGAACTTTGAATGAAGTATATATATTATAGATGGTGATTGAATCAATGTCTTTGAATTACAGGTGGCATTCAAGCACAAATATGAATGACACGTGGCAGACACAATGTATCAGGAACATGAAGTTTAAAGAGCTCTAGCTAGTTCTAAAGCTACGAACTCATTACACGTCTTCTCTTACTCACCGTCTCTCTTTGTTTTTTTCTACATCTCCACCGAGTGCTGAGTAATGTAACAAGGAATGAGCATTTAAAGTTCAGTATGAGCAATGTGGGTCACCATCCTCTCAATTGCAGGAGCTGTCAGAGTTGTTCCACTCATCCTCTAAGGCCTAAAGGCCAAGGTAACGAGGGTTTAAAGAAAAAGAACCACTAGGTTAGACCTGTGGTGAGGGATGTGAGTAATTATATAATAAGTTATTTGTTTAATTTTTAATATATTCAAAAAAAAAAAAAATTCCACATCATAGAGTGATAGTTGAACTTTTTTGGGTATTCCCGTAGCAACCAACTTGGTGTATCTTCTACAAAAACTTTTATCTCAATTCAATCTAAAATAATTTGTACTATTTTCTTTTAAATCCTCACCTTTTTTTTTTAAGGGATATATCATACATCCGTAGCAGAGAAAAATGTCTCACGATAGTTATTTTTAATTATGTTGTCAATTTCATTCTCAATTTAGGTCCAGTTCATTAGGCGACCAAATCGGCCTGACTTTCACATCCCTTCATGTTATGCTGACTGGTAACAAAAATTACATTTAAATTACATTTTTCTAGTAATAAATTTTATTTTATTTTTTAAAAAAAAGGCTTCAATTCATGATTTTAGACTTGAGACTAACTTTCTGGACCGTTGGAATTATTTAATATAATCCCGGCCTATTACTTGATTAAGTGGTCACCGCCAACCAAAATGAAATATTTTCTGATATATAATTCAAAGGAGAGAGAAAATAATTTTTTTTTCAAGTGTTTCACTCTTAATGTGCTCTGGATGCACAAAAGATGACCTGGACAGCTTAACAAATGATGGTCACGGTTGAGCATGCATGCACTAGCCCGTTCGGTTTTTTTAACTTTTAAAAAAAAAAATAAGGCACATAGCATTCTAGTTTGGACCATGTATATTTTCTGCTAGGCTCGGTTATGTCCTCTAATTTAGATAGGGTTTTTGTAGGAGAGAAAAAAAGTAGAGAGAAATTAAATGTGGATCTCATATTTTATATTAAAAAAGAAAAAAAAAATTAATTGACACAAAAAATAAATTTGTGTAAAAAAATGATTTACTCTCATGTAGCATGACAATATTATTTTCCTTTAAATATTACTATCTACGGGTCAAACCTAGTCTGTCAAATTTCCTAAGCTACATTCAGGACCCCATCGCTTCCACTTACGTCTTCAACCTTGTCAGATTGCTTTAAACTTATTTGTTATAAAATAGGTTTAAAGACTTATCAAAAACTTAAAAAGTAAGTCAAACACAAATATTAAAATTCACTGATAATAAAGTTTAAAACCAAATCCTTTTAAAAAGATAAGTGAGTCATCAGACTACAGTTGGCTGCTTTTTGATGTTTTAGTCTGAATTGATTTGCTGCTTGGTGCTAAGAAAATTAGTTTTTCTTTTCTTTTGTAATCTCATATACTCATTTTTATATTTCTTATCTTCCTCTTTTTTTTAATGATATTTCTTATCTTCTTAGTACAGTTAACATTTGGTAGAAAGACTGTAAGTTATATGCAATCTCAAACGACAAAACTAGTAATTAGGTTTTTTTTATTCCTAGATACATAATCAGAATTGAAGTTAGAAGAAAATATATGTTAAAAACATATTACATTTGAATTAATAATAAAAAATGAATTACATATTTATAAGAGATTATAGAGTATGAATATGCAGCGCCAAAGCTCGACGAGAATCAACCATCAGTAGTGCAGGCTTAATATATATAGTTTTTTTATATATTGTTATTTGTTAGTGACAATGAATTTGACGTTACAGCATTTCTTGAAATTTTCTCTTGTATTCTATGTATCTAGATACGTGCTTCCACAATGGAATATTGGTTTACAAAAGAAGAAAAAGGGGAAACGTAACTTCATCACTTTCAGTTTCCAATTTTCTCTATAAAGTTTGAAGCCAAAAAAGCTTTCAGTTTAAACTTTGGGTGGGTGTGGGTGGGGCTTACACCGCCCACCCAACTTTTAATATGCGCCCACATCACGAAGCCATATCTTTTATACGCCTAGATTACCATATCATTGCCATGAAAATATATGAAGTCTATTATTGAGGTTCTATTATTCTATATTCGTAAAAGAATAATGCTGTATATGTTAAAAGAAAAAAGAATAATGTTATGTCAATATATACCCAATCATACTCCAGCAGATAAGTAACAATTTTAACAACTGTATAAAACCATTAAAATGTACGTGAAATTGTGCAAAAATAATTTCACGTAATATATACAATTGTATAAATTTAAAATAAATTAAATAACATATAAAAAAAGTAATATTTATAATATAAATTATTGCTTTTGAATCGTTAGACTTACTTAACATCAAACTCTTATGAGAAGCATGCTAGCGGGAAAGAGTAATGACATTTATATTTTAAAATGTTTATATTATTCTTATACTGTCACCTTTTAAATAATAAAATAAAAAATACATATCTGATATACTCTGTATTTTTTTTTTTTTTGCAAATAAAATAAAATGTAAAAATGATTAAAATTTTGATGAGTAAATATCGTTACTTTCAAGTTGCAAGTGAAATTAGCTCAATGAAATGTGAAAAAAATAAATAAAAGAATATGTTGATAGGATTGCGGATCCTATGTGGTAACAAGGAGAGAAACAAGAAGGAACAGAGGAGAATTCAAAAAGAAATTCGTATATTCATCAGATAAAACTTCACAAATGATCAGCTTCCTATCTATAAGCCACAGATCACTATCAATCTGTAACTGAATTGTAAAATAAACACGTAATGTAAATGCTGTAACCGCTCAATGCATACTGTAACAGCTAAACAAATGACACTTAAGTCCTAACAAGTAACAGCAAAGCTTGGGCCACCGCCTGATGACATAGAAATTGGGCCGATTACACAAGGTAGTCCTTGGCCCAAGAAGGAGGCCCAGTCATCCTCTTAGGCTTAGGTTCCTCCATCATAACATTGCCTCCACCTGCAGTAAGAACCTTGTCCTCAAGGTTCATTGTGGGAAGAGAAAATTCTGGGTAAAAACTGATAAGATCATCTTCATACTCCCAAGTAGCATCCTCAGGGAGAGAGTTGGTCCACTAAATTAACCACTGCCTTCGATCACCATGAGTCCCTTGAATAGTCCGAGTCATAACTGCTGCTAAAGGCAACTGGACAGGATGATTTTCCTTATTAATTGAGGGCAAAGGAACAGGAACAATAGACCCATCACCTCTGAACGGTTTGAGAACAGATATGTGGAAGGAAGAGTGGATTTTGCAATTTTCAGGCAAACCAACTTGATAGGCCACAGGGCTCAACACACGCACAATAGGATAAGGACCAAAATACCTTTTAGAAAGTTTCTGACACTTCCTATGAGCTATCGTGATCTGTCTGTAAGGCTGCAACTTGATTAACACCAGATCACCGACTGAAAATTGAAGATCCTTTCTGTGCTTGTCGGCTTGGACCTTCATGCGGTTTTGGGCACTCAGTAATTGATTCCTAAGATGCCTCAATAAATCATCACGATGGCTCAAAGTAGCATCAACTGCCTCCTCACGAACTGACCCTTTAACATATGTTGGGATCATGACAGGAGCTTTGCCATAGAGAGCTTGGAAATGAGTCATACCAATTGAGGAGTGGACAACAGTGTTGTAATGAAATTCAGCCCAGCCCAAGTATACTGCCCATTTGTGGTTCTCGTCATGGCAAAAGGCTCTAAGATATTGCTCCAAATATCTGTTAGTTACTTCAGATTGCCCATCTGTTTGTGGGTGATAGGAGGTGCTAGTACGTAAACTTATCCCACTGCATTTAAATAGCTGAGACCAGAATTTATTCAAGAAGATAGAGTCTCTGTCTGAAATAATGGTCTTTGAAAAACCATGTAATTTGACCACCATATCACAGAATAAAGAAGCTACCTTTACAGCAGAGTAGGGATTAGCTAAGGCCCCAAAATGAGCAAATTTTGTCAATCTATCGACCACCACTAGTATAACATTGAAACCTTTTGACAATGGCAATCCTGTGATGAAATCCATACTCATGTCTTCAAACACACCATCAGGAATAGGTAAAGGGTGAAGTAAACCCAAGGGAGGAGAAGTAGTGTGCTTAATCATCTGGCAAGTGGAGCAGCTCCTCACAAGATCCTGGACATCCTTTCTCATTCCCTTCCAAAAAAAAGAAGCAGACAATCTCAAAAAAGTACAAGAAATACCTGCATGACCTCCAACCAAAGTGGAATGAGCCTCATGTAAGAGAATATCCTTCAATGCTGAAGCAGTGCCCAATAAATACCGGTTTTTGTGATATAAGATGCCATCTCGGTCAGTAATTTCTGAACCTATCAATTCCTGATTGTTCAATTTGAGCCGAATGTCCACAAGCTCAGGATCAGATATGTTTTCAGCTCGAATCTGATCTATCAAGGGAAATTGAACTTCAGACAATAGTGCCAAATTGAAACTGGGTTGCTCTTCATCAAAACAACGTGACAGGGAGTCAGCAACTACATTAGTTGCACCAGGTTTGTACTCAATAGAAAAATCATAGCCCATTAATTTACATGCATACTTTTGTTGCTCCACTGTTTGGACAGTTTGAGTTAGCAACTCCTTCAAACTTCTATGATCTGTTCGGATGATGAACCTTGCTCCAAGCAAATAGTGCCTCCACTTCTTCACTGCCTCAGTTAAGGCATGTAATTCCCTGACATAAGTGGAAGCCACCCGCATCCTTGGCCCAAGCTTCTTGCTAAAAAAACCTATAGGATGGTTATTATGTTGAAGGATAGCCCCTATTCCCAAGGATGATGCATCCGTTTCCACCACAAAGGGAGAGGAAAAATCAGGAAGAGTCAGAACAGGAGTCTCAGTCATTGCAACCTTTAAGGCTTCAAAAGCCTTGGAAGCCTCCTCAGTCCACAAAAAAGAATCCTTCTTCAATATATCAGTGAGAGGTGAAGCTATAGCTGCATACTGATAATGAACCTCCTATAATATCCAGTGAGACCAATAAAACCTCTCAATTGTTTGATTGTCTTTGGATGAGGCCACTGTTGCATTGCAGCTATTTTCACTCCCATGCCCGAAACCAAATGCCCCAGGTACTCTACTTCAGCCAATGCAAAAGAGCACTTACTCAGCTTCACCATGAACATATTATCCTGCAAACAACTCAAGGTCAGTACAAGATGGCTATAGTGTTCCTCAATTGAACCACTATAAATCAGAATATCATCGAAGAACACTATAATGAACTTGCGAAGATATGGCCTGAACATATGATTCATTGCAGCCTGGAAGGTAGAAGGAGCATTGGTCAAGCCAAAAGGCATCACCAAGAACTCATAATGTCCTTCATGAGTTCTGAAGGCAGTTTTGGGAGTGTCATCTGGAATCAACAAGATCTGGTGGTAACCACTCCTCAAGTCCAACTTGGTGAAAATATTGGCTCCTCTAAGCTCATCCAATAGCTCATCTATTGTTGGAATGGGGAAACGGTCCTTGATTGTGATATTGTTCAATGCTCTATAATTAATGCACATCCTCCATGAGTTGTCATGTTTCTTAACAAGTAGCACAGGAGAAGAGAAAGGACTCCTACTTTCCTTGATAAATCCTGATGCTAACAACTCAGACACTTGCTTTTCTATTTCCCCTTTCTGATGGTGAGCATACCGATAAGGACAAACATTGACTGACCGAGCCCCTTCTAGCAAGTGAATAGCATGATCACAACTCCTAGGTGGTGGCAAGCCCTGTGGCAATTGGAACACAGATTGCAATTGCAGCAGAATGTCCCAAACAGCAATGGGAATTTGCTGTTTCAAGTCCAATAGTTCAGGAAGAATTGCAGGTCCCACAAGGTCAGCTTCCCCTGCTAATCTCAAACACTGCTGGTTAACAGAACTAACCACACCACCAATAGATTCTCCTTGTAGAATAACCCTACCTCCCGAAGACATAAACTCCATATAAAACCAATTATAGCAACTATATAAAACTATTAAAATGTACCTGAAATTGTGCAAAAATAATTTCACGTAATATATACAATTGTATAAATTTAAAATAAATTAAATAACTCATATAGAAAATTAATATTTATAATATAAATTATTGCTTTTGAATCGTTAAACTTACTTAACATCAAACTCTTATGAGAAGCATGCTAGCGGGAAAGAGTAATGACATTTATATTTTAAAATGTTTATATTTTCTTATACTATCACCTTTTAAATAATAAAATAAAATATATATACCTGATATACTCTGTATATTTTTTTTGCAAATAAAATAAAATGTAAAAATGATGAAAGTTTTGATGAGTAAATATCGTTACTTGCAAGTGAAATTAGCTCTATGAAATGTGAAAAAAAAAAAAAAAAATATGTCTGCAACGCGTTGAAGAATAAGAGCTTGATGATGTACTCATCAAGCGAATATGTCATCAAAGGAAAATGTTTCTTTCAAACCACTTTTTTTTTTAGCTTACGAGTATTTGCTTGAGCAAAAATAATGTATCGTAAAGTATATATATTTCTTCATTTTATTATATAGAAAAAAATTGTATACGAATTATGTATGGGAAGTGATGATATATATGCAGATAATAATTTTAGTCTTAAAAGCCATATCACTATTCTTAATTTCATCACGATGGGCTCTTACTTGGCCACTTGGGTGACTACGTACGACAAACAGTGAGTGGAAAAGAATATTAGAATAAAATATGAGAAATGACGTGCAAATAAAATTGTTGATCCTCATATAAGCCATCACAGTTCTTTCAAAAATCAAGACTATACGTCCCTCCACTTGTACTAAAATAAAATAAAATCATGACTATATGCTCCCCTTGGGTTTTCAACACTAGTCTTGCTCTCTTTTAATAATATTTGACATAAATCAACTTATTTTAAAGAGTTTAAGCGGTTAGAAAAAGATAAACCAAATAATTTTATATTATTTTTATTATATCTCCTCACGATAATGCACTAATTTTAATATCTCCTCATGTAACCATTTAATTAAAATTCATGATCACTCGCCAGCAGCATCAATCGATCACTAATTAACAACTTACTGAGATCAAGAAAAAAGAAAAGAAAAGAGAGAGAGAGTAACATTTTGTCTCATATTTAAACTTTCAAAAGTTCATTAAATAGATAACAAAATTAAGTTTCAATTTGATTCACAGTTCACATGACATGGAATCGATCGATGTTTTATTAGCGAAAATTATCATCAAGAGAGGCCACGCACTACACACACACATCAGTTCTCTCTGCTCTTGGGCACCGTCACCACCAGCTTCCCGCCGCTGCAAACGGCGGTGACCATCTCCGGCTGAGCCCACGACGGAAGACGGAACCGCCAGAGATCAACGCCTAAACGATGATGCAGCTGCTGACACGCCAGCGTGACATCACCGCCGTCCATTCTCTTGATCACGATTTTGGTTATACCTGGAAGAATCTCGATGGCGTGAGCTCGAACGCCGCTAGCGCTGGCGTTGAACATGTTTATCTGGTTACACGAAGCAACGAAGCGAAGAAACTGCGGCGTTTCCTCGTACGAAACGTCGGCGTCTGAGGGCAAAGGAAGCTCAAGCGTTTGGGCGAATACGTGAGGCAGTCTCCATAGCTTCTTCGTGTTTGAGGTTGGTGCCGATGAAACGACACCGTACTGGGAACGCTGGTTGTTGTTTCGCTTCTTTGCGAAGGGGTTGATCTTCATGGAGAACATGGTGTTGTTGTTGTTGCTTAATTCAATTTATCACTATTCTAGTTAAGTTCCTGTTTGGATGTTTGTATAAGGGAAGTTGGAGTATGAAATCTGGAATTATGGGTTTATTATAGGAGTGTTTGTCGATGGTGATATCGATATATATGGGTTCCTCACATGGACTTGATTAGACGAAACTACCCTCCGAGAGGATGGTCTATGAAGGAGGGCATTGATTGCTTTTGCTTTCTCTGGGTGCTGGAATAATCGTGAAAAGGTTTCAGGCCAAACGAAAGGAATAGAATCCGTGTATTAATTTTGTGTTCGGAAATTGAAATGGTATATATATGAAGCATTCGTATACTGCTTATGATGTTTGTTATTAATATTATTTGATTAAGTGGTTTGTATCAAATCATTCACGAATCTGTGTATCCACGCAGCTTGCATATTAGGACAATTATATTATTATATTCTTTTGACACGAGATAAAAAGAGTCTCGTCGAAATCGAATAGTCAGACTCCACTTTGTGCGTGGTGCTCATATCCATTCAAAGCCAAACCAAAGCCTAACCACACTTTAAAATTTGCACAACTATATATATATTGAACACTTTACTAACTTGGATTTTATTATAGTTGATAGTGTCATCTGTCTACGAGGAATACGATGCAACTATATATTCAATCAATAGTTCCAGGTCAGTAGAGGGTAGTTTTATTCGCAAACCTTATTCTGTTATTGCATTGTACAGAGTTTGTTTGAGTGAGTTTCTGTGAGGATTTGTCATCTTAACGGTGTTTGTATGTGTATGTTTTCTTTTCTGCGTAATAGCTAACTGTTTGTGGACTTGTTTTCTGCCTGTTTTTTGTTGTTGTCAAAATCTAGTTTCTAAATTAGGATTCGCAGCTTATTGCCATAGAATTTAAGGATTTGTATGAATATTTGATCCCTTGAAGACTCTGCATCTTTGTTTGAGAAATATAAACCTTCACATACAAACCTAAATTTTTAGGTGAAATGATTATGATCCGTACTCATGGGGTCATGTATTTGTTCCATTATCACCACCTCTAATTTTTTAATGGAATTAAAATAGCACAAAGGTAAAATAAAATAAAAAATAGATATGTGCAAAGGCTCTTGTGTAAGGGATGTAATAGACAAATATAAATAATATTGACGAGACTTCACTTACAAGCTCACTTGGTAGGAGCCTCTGACCAAGTGGTTACGAGTTCAATTATCAATGTTCTTCATTCTATTCTCTTAACATGGGTAGGAGACTTGATGCATTGTCCACATTTCAACTTTAGTGAATTCTTATATGAGGGGCATATTAGAGAAAAATATAATATAAAATCGTTAAAGGCCCATCACTTACTAACTTTAATTTTTGAGTTGAAATAATTCTTTACATAATTTTTTAAGCTCGTAAGTGAACACCTATTAATATTTTTTATATTTCTCTAATTTTCTATCAATAATTTTATATTTCTCTGACGTTCTTCAAATCCGAGTTCGAATATTTTCTGTGGTACTTAATTTGAGGTTCAAAATCGTCTACCTTCGGGTGACGGTACACGGTAGTCTTTTTATTTTTTTCCCCTCTTCTAACAGGCATTTTCTTTTTCCTTTTTTGTCTTCCATTCGACAGATCAATAGACAACAGATGGCTTCCATTTTTTTTAACAAATGGGCTTTGCTCTCTTTGGACTAATGAATGGACCATCAACAGATCACCCGAAGAACCCCAAAAAATCTTGTAAATTTTGGGAGAGAAACCCAATAGTGCGATAGACCTTAAATAAGGGAAGTTGAACAGTGCCATACATCACGTGATTATACTTTGATGAGTCTCCCTCGTCTCACACGATTTTATACTTTGACTAGTCGCCCTCATCTCACTTATTCAGACATGAGTCTTGACATATATATGTGAATATTATTATGGATTTAATATTTTTTATGTTATAAAATATAAATTTTATCTCCTACATACACATAAAAGTTTGTGGGACTCATATTAGAAGAAAAAAGATAAAGAAAAAATATAAATTTCATACACTTTTATATATGTATATGAGATAAATTTATCTCTTACAACATAAAAAATATTAAACTCTATTATTATTTATATGATATATAATTGTGCATGTATAACAACAAAGACAGACCTGAAAAATATTATGCCGAAACTTTTTATAAGGAGCAAAATTAGAATGTATATTATTCTTTTAAGTTACAACTTTTGATATAACCTATTTTGGTGGATCCATATAAGCTCCTTATAACGGGCCAATCGTATAAGGCCCATTAAAGGACCAACCCATAGACACCCCGTAGATGAGCTCATAGACCTCATCTTAGGGGATTTCGTTCTCCCTTGCACGACTCACCATCGTACACGGATAATGGTGAGGCAACACTTCACTGCAAATGTGAGGATTTGGTTAATAGTTTTTGGCTTACCTCTTTCTCTCTCATCATTAGGGAATATTCTCCACCTATATAAACCTCTCTTATCTTGTCAAAGAGGCACCTAATATCACACACTTTTATGAGCTGTTACTCTATTAGGTTTTGGAGTCACTGTAGTCTATACATACACACCCCATTCATAGCCTCTTATGTGAATGCACTCACGATGACTCTTTAAGAGCTTTGATTTATATCACTGCATTATTACATTGAGATACTACACACCCAAAAGGATACAGACTAACTCTCATTCCACTAAAGCTTATTGGCGCCGTCTATAGGAAACGATAAACTCTAATTCCCATTTCTTTACCTGCGAAAGGTAAATCGTACCTAGAAAACCCAGTTTCTTTGTCCAACCTTTCATTAGTGAAAATGGTTTAGACTAAGAGAATCATCCAACCCGAAGTTGCTACTCTTGATGGCCATGTTCAGACCCTCCAGGAAGACTTTGTCCCTTCCATGTAAGCCCCTAGATGTTTAACTAGATAAGATTCTAATCTTTTTTATTGTTTCAGGTTGTTTCATACTTAAAGAAGAAATTACTAACTTGATGAGGAGAAGGCAGTTGGCAGCTAATGATAAATCAAAAATCAAGAAAATAAAGAATTGATAAAAATTAATTCTTCTTCGCTCTGCTCTCGCTTCAGGAGAAAGTGAGCAAGAAGTTTTATTAAGCTCTCTTTGTTGCTCGCTTCAGCGAGGAAAGGAAAATAGCTCGCTGGCCTAAATTAAAGGCCCGGTTTTAAGCCTTTAAATAGAATGCGATTAAAGCTGTGAAGAGGACATTCGGAAGACGGAAGAAAGCAAAGACTCAGAGACGAAGGCAGAAGCGGAGGAGAAATTCTGGAGCGAAATTCCAAAGGAGAAGAAGGAGATCAAAGCTTCATCATTGATCATCATTAATCAAGTTTTATCATGAAATCTTTTTATTTTTCATCATCTTTTTATTCTGAATTTATGAATATGTTAGGCTGAATTTATTTATGTAGTTAGGATCATAGATCCGACATGAATCCTATGCGTGGTTTAAATTTGTTTCTTTAATAAATTGGTTCAGTCATTTGTGGTTTACCTTGCATGAATTTCTATATCCTTGTATGAATTGATCACTCTTATAGGGATTTGAGGGTTAGAGCTCGCAATAGACATATTGAGATTTTAATCCTGACACGGGTAAAATATCAATTCTTTCATGATCTAGACATAGGCTTGCTTGAGTTGTAGACTTCATAATTCATTGTGTCTAATGCTTATTTTAAATGGAACTAATAATACATTAGGATTCTAATTAGAGTAAAGGGTTACAGTCACTAAGACATTAGGATTTAACCAACTATTTTTAGAAGATGAATTGTTTGAAATATCTGAGAAGAATTACTATTGAATTTAATTTAAACTACTCTAGGAGGATCTGAGGTGAAATAATTCCTAGCTACAGTTTCTTATTACAGTTCTTTAATCGTATCTTTTCTTGCGTTCTTGAATGTTCTTGATATTTACTGCAATTAATTTTAATTACTTTTGTTTTAATTCAAATTCTATTTTTCAAACCAATTCGAGTTTTTCAAATTAAGGGGACTAGTTATAATAATATTTGGTGCATTAATCCTCGTGAAAACGATATCTTACTCACACTTTATTACTTGAACCAATCGGTATACTTGCCGAAATCGTAACAATTAGCAAGAAGTTGCTACAACATAAGTGTCTAACCTTCCACTATGAGGTTTGTAGAAAATAAAGAGCATAGTAATGTCGAACCGCAGGAGAGTAGTAAAAAGGGGGAAAAAATGTCCCAATACTTAATGGTGAAGTTTGATGCCAAAAGTGACCCCCGTGTAGAGCACTCAAGGCCAACATTGGGCGTGAATTAGAATGTATGTTGCACCGATACCGACACGGGACACGACACGACACGCCGACACATTAATTTTAAAATTTCAACATGTTAGGACACAATTTGATATTAAATAATATTTTAATATATATAATATAGTTTATATTTAATACATATAGCAGCCCATAATAAGTCATACAACCAATCAAATATTCAAATTCCATAACATTATTGTGAAATAATAAAAAAACTGAAAGAATCATAGAGATAGTAATAGGTAAAAGAGAAGAGTATAGGGTAAAGGGAATATATTCTTCTTGTATTATCATCTCATTTGAAGCTTTGCACATGCCTTTATTTATAGGATCATAAGACAAGGTACGTTACAATAAAATAAATGAGAAGAATTACACTTCTTCAATGGTTATAAATTGGGATTAAATATCCAATTGTCCTATCCAATGGACATATTTATTTGGGAGTTATGGACATTCACAATAATATTATTTATAACAAACATAAATATAAAGCAGAAATAATTTTTCATGTCAAATTCTATAACAGAAAATATTTTATTTATAAATTAAATTTTTATGTTTAAGTAAAAGATAAAATAAAATAAAAATATGTCGGAGTGTTGACCGCGTGTCGGTGTCCCGACACATTTTTCTTCCAAATTGACGTGTTCGTGCTTCTTTGGTTAAAACATTTCATCTTCGGAGAAAATGAGGAATAAACAACCAAAATTGGGGCCATCATAATCCTAGATCTGAAGAATAAATTAATAAAGCCCTTGGAAGACAATAAAGCTCTTTTTGTGTGGACCCCTTCAAACATGCCAAGCATAGACTCCAACTTCTGCTATCATAAATTTTCCATTTTCCCCAAGGTCAATCTAGTCGCGCAAAAGAAGATAAAATCATGTCTTGACCGACAAAAAATCATTGACACTGAAGTAAAAAGACTGTTGAATGCGAGCTTTATCCATAAAGTGGATTACACCACTTGGTTGCCCAATGTGGTAATAGTGAAGAAGATGAGCGTGTGATGGAGAATGTGTGTAGATTACACTAACTTGAATAAGACCTATCCAAATGACTCGTATCATTTGCCCAACATCGACCTGTTAGTAGACAAAAAAGGGAGAGTGAGAAGCTAAGTTGTGTGAGGTGGACTAAATCCAATGTGTAAGGGCTGATGACGTATATAGTGGAGGAGGAAATAGTGGAAGGGATGAACAACTAGGATCGCATCATGTGACAACAATATGATAATCATGTTAGAGGATGCACAATTGAGAAATAAGTGTTATGTGGTAAAATCTCTTGAGTTACACACATAGAATGCATAGATACTTATGCATGACAGATGTACAACTCACAAGAATATGACATATGGCAGTTGCACACTCAGTAAGGGTGTTTGCGGTATGAATTGGATTGATTTTGAAACAAAAATCATCTGATCCAATTCTTTCATTTTTTTTAAATCCAATCTAATTTTATCCAGTTTGAATTAGATCGGTTTTTGGTTATTCGAAAAGCCTAAAATTTTAGTCATACAAATCACTAATATATCAAAATAAAGTCATTCAAAGTTACAAACCACTGGTAAATTCAAGTCTTCAAACTAAAACAAGTCTTAGGGGGCATTTGGTAGGGGATAAATTTTTTTTATCCGGGAATCACGATTTTCAGGAATCTGATCGGAAAATGAGTTTTTCGAAAATGTTAAAGTTGTTTGGTAGGCTAACATATTTTCGGGAATATTGGATTAATTTTCTTGGTACTATGTTTGGTTGTATTAAAATTTTTCTTGTCATAGAAATCCAAGAATATCACCATGTGGGTGGTATTCTTGGATTGTATTTTAAAAAAAAATTACACACAAAATAAAATCCCGGGGAAATCATATTCTCAGAAAAATTTTAAAAATCTCATACCAAACGTGGGTAAATAAAATTATCACATTCAGTTTTCTGAGAATCCTAAAAAATCTTTGTACCAAACGGCCCCTTAAAACTCATGAAAAATTAAAATAGATGAATAGATAATAAGAAACTAAAACAAGATAATTTGCTATCAATAATATCCAAGATTTCAAGTCTACAAATCAACAAGTTTTCAAGTCACCATCTTTCAAAAATAATAAATACATAATACATTGGATCGATTTTCACTAACCAAACCGAAAACTGATCCAATCAAATTAAAATATGCGGGATTTATTTTTGATTTTTGATTTTTCGGTTATTGATTTTTCGGTTCGGTCATCGCAATTTGAATCGGTTGATGAAAACATCTGACTAATTACATTATTTCGTTGCATACTTTCAAAACTACATTATTCGTGTAGTTTTTTAAAAAATTACCTTAGGTGGGTAATTTTTTCATGTAATTGTGCACTTACCTTCAGTTCTAACATTTGCTCATGCGAAAGTTGAAATTTCCCTCTGTCTGGGGAAATGTAGTTGTCTAGCAAACCTTTCGGAAGGCGCAATAAAGCACAAGAATAAGGAATACTTTAATTTTTAGTCACTTTATAGTTCCACCAGGACCAAGGAAAGGAAGGAACCACTCAGATTTTTGTTGGTAACGCAACCGGAACGTGTCACGTCATTTCACGAGATATGCGTAGTGAGGGAGCCAAAAACCGACATCAGTAGGTCAACTTCAACTTTTTACGTACATTTAATATTGTTTAATGTTTACGTTGAATGTGTTCAGCATTTGCCGAGTCCTAAGCCCAAATTCACCATTCACCTCCACCACTTTCACTGCTTCCAAAATGAATAAAATAACTTGAAGGAAAAGAAGGAGCAGCAGCACAATCATACCCTTTTCATGCTCCCTTTGGAAAATTTTCTCTTCCACCAACTGGTAATTTTTTTTCTTCTTTCCCTGTTTTTGAGAAAAGGTTGATTTCATACCCCAAGACTGCAAATTTATTTGTTTTATTTTATTTTTCAGTGTATGAGAAAGTTCATGTGGCGGATCTGAACCAGTGAGATTGTTACCTGGGTGGTATAGTTGTGACAAATTTTTGGTTTACATTTTCATTTTGGATCCATTGGGATTGTTTCTGATACCTCCCACTGAATTGTAGCATTGTGATCTAGTAGATCACACCTTCAAATCTCATTATCTAGCTCATTGTCTAATTTATTGTGGTCATGGAGACCCTTGTTGTTGTTGAACAGCATAAGAACCAATACTACAGCAGGTGCAAGTCACAGAGCCATGCCCAATTTGGGGGTTCACCTTCTAGGGACTTTAAGGGGTTCAATTGCAGGACTTTTGAGTCTGGGACAGGTATATTGCCAACTCCATTGAAATCTCATAGTTCCCCTAAAACACCACCCCCTTTTTCTGCAAATTCAAACTCTGATAAAAAAAAGCATAGGATAACTACTCCTAAGAGCAACCCAATTCCTATCATTGGCAAAGCTTGTAGAAAAGAGACAACTTTCAATGAAGATGTTTTGTTCTCTGGGTTATGGGCTGGACCTACCTACTCAAATTCACCTCCACCCAGTTCCTTGCCAATTCCCAAGTTCTCAGTCCAACCAAAGAGGACTGTGTCTCTTGATCTACCCGGTTCCTCCCCTGAGATTGAAATGCGCCCAGTGGCCAAGTCTGCGCCTTCATCGGCCAACAGGGAGCATTTGTTTTGTACAAGAGATCTCTTTGTTAATGCTGATTCTGCCACTAAGACCCTGCATCGCATTCTCAATCTTAACATCAATGATGAGTGCAATATAAGGAGCGCTGGGCTCCTGTAGAATGTCTCTTTTAATGAAATTGGATTAGTGTTAGATATGTATAGGGAGACCAAATAAAATTTTTAGTCTGAGTCCGTTTGAGTTTGTGTAGCTTTCAGTAGTGGTGGTGCCCTTGACAATGGTGGCTGTGGTGGGTCAACAATCTCCAGATTTTGGAAATCGGATCAAGCTTAGCAGTAGAGAGGGTAACTGGGTGTATACTTGAAGAATCTATTGAAAGCAGGCTTTGCTATGGGTCGATGGAAGCTTCCATGAAAATATTTGTGAAGCAGAATGGTGATAACGAGTCGGAGTGGCATGGAATAGATTTGGTTGACTGAGCTTTCATCTATTGGACCTGAAAAAAATTACATTCAATTTGAATCCTAATTAATGACATATAGTTCTCAGCATCATCTCCTCGTAGAATGTTTAACTTCCCTTAATCTGACATAGGATTTAGGCCTCCTGCTTTACATACTATGTAAATACTTTAGAAGCTTGTACTTGCAAAAACCCTTAGAGTGCCCTTTAGTCTGTTCTTTTTTTTGGGTTTTCTTCTAATCATGCCTAAAGTACTTCATCCTGATCTACTTAAAATGCAGACAATCAGTCTCCTAGGTGATAAGCTGTTTGCTAGTTACTACCTTCCCTGCCGGTCTTTCTTTCTCTCTGTTAGTATTTTATTCCTTAGCTACCCTCGTTAGGGTATGGTTTGCCCCTTCGCTATCTTTTCTGTTTTTTTTTTTTCAAAGAAAAGTTTGAAGGGACTTGTAATAGTCTTTTGCAGCATTTGCTTCAGTTATTTTTTAGGTTAATCCATGTCATTCCACCTGCTAGTAAGCCCCTTATATATTTCATTTCTGGTGCTGAGTAATGCTTATCTCCTTAGTCCTAGTCCTCACCTGGTTTATCTTCAATTTCCATAGAGAGTGTTGACCTTGCCATGCCATATTTAAGGTAAGGTCTTGCTTGATGATTATTTAAATGCTTCTGCTATATTATTTTCATGCCATTACTTTGTACTAACTGAGAAATGTTCAATGCGTGAATCAGGGAGGCAAAACTATACTGAGGCTGTTTCAGTAGTGACTTGTGAGACGTGGTCAGTTGCAAGTCAGTTTTTCTCGACAAAGACCCTTGTGGCTCGTAAATTTGTCCGTGTTTCTTTCTTTCTGCTCGTGTAACTTGTGAATCTTGTTTGATCTACTGTAATAAAATGTCAGTGACTATTATCTATGCACCATTTATGTATCTGAATTAAATACTTATTCTCTTCATTATTTTATGTAGCGTTTCTTCAAAGGCAATGGCATGATTGTCTGCATCTTGATTAACTTTAGTCTCTGATGTCATTAGTTAATCTTAAATTAATTGAATTGTGATGGTCCTACTATGGATAGAACTTGGATGACGAAATATTCAGTAATTATTTTCACACATCAAAGATTTGGTGTCATGTTTAAACCATTCCAATTCAGAATGGTCTAGTTTTCTGCGATGGCAACTACATGTTTGGTTCCTTCATGGAAACCAATTTTTATGCGGGAAAGTGGCCTGATAAGATTTAGTGTTCACACAACATTACTGAAAATACTTTAGTGGTGTCTTATCTGGGTACTTTGTCCAGTTCAGTCCACATGAGCTCAACGATTCCTCTTTTAAATTTTCTTTGCCCGGGTTAAAGATTCTCTGTTGCCTGATCTAATTCTAAACCTAAGGTTCCTAACTCATTGTTGTCTGTTACCTCTATCCTTTTAGCTGTAGATGTTATGTGGTTGCAACTTGAAACCTGCTATATAGATTGGTTGCCATTTTTCCATGAGTAGTGACGTTATCAATGATATCGATGGAATTCCATTGAATTTCTTTTTTTGGAACGATTTAAATTGTGCACTCTTTCTCCCACGTCTGGATATCATTTAGGCTCCATTTAATTTAATTTTATCTTTTTGACTGATTTTTTTTTTTTTTTTAACTGATTTAAATTGTTCATACTTATCAAACTCAGTCTCAGACAATCATATTATCTTTATCTTCCAAAAGTTAATATTGTCACCTCTTGATAACAGAGTGAGAGCAAGAGACAAGGTATTTTTTGGTGCAAATTTTTTTGTCTTTCCCACGGTTAATCAGCAGCGGACAATATTAACTGTGTGAAGATAAGTTTAAAAGTTTGGAATTCATTATAATTTGAATAAAAATTTATAGTTAGGAAGACAATTTCAAGATCTAATAATTATTTTTTTTAACTGATTTATTGGTCATTATATGTGAATTTGAAAAAATGTATGGAATTACTTGTTGAGATATATAATTCCACATTGGTTGTATGAACAACGAATGTGAAGTTTATAAAGTCTTGGATACTCTCACCCTTAGAGCTAGCTTTTGAGGTGGTGTATCCCAATGTTCTTTACATGATATCAGAGCTTGAGTGACCATAAGGTCTCGAGTTCGATCCTCACGGCCCTCCACTTTCAAGTGGAATTAAAATAAAAAAAAAACACAAAAAGATAAAATCAAAAATTGGGACTGTGCAATTCTACGCTTCTAGCCCAAAGGGCTCTTGCGTGAGGGGGCATGTTATTCTACGCTTCTAGCCCAAAGGGTTCTTGCGTGAGGGGGCGTGTTGAGATATATAGTCTCACATTGGGTGTATGAACAACTAATGTAGCCTTTATAAGGCCTTAAACACTCTCACCCTTTAGAGCTAGGTTAAGGTTCTTTACACTACTCGTAGAAAACACTTCTTACTATTTCGTGAAATTGCTGGTGCATGAGCTTTTATCTTCTTTAATTGAAATCTGAAAGATGTGAAAATGATGTTCATTTCTCATCTGTATAATGTATTAACTAATAACGCTGGCAGATGCCAAAGGAGACGCTATCTCTCAGGTTCCTTTTGTTTGTTCTTTGTTACCATTAGTTGAGCATCTTAGCATAATAGCATGCTCACTTTTGTGTACTATGGGTCCCAATTCCTTTGTGTACTTGGGTTTTCACCTGAATCGCTATAACCCTGCCTTCCGGAGCGTCAATTTCTCTAATTTAATGATTCTCCAAACACAAGACTCGTCAAGTTAAGGTTGCTGGTGGTTTTCATGCGCACCAAGACTTTTTCATTTTCAGATACATATGGGTAAGAGGTTAAGAGTCCTCTCAATCCATAGTCCACAAGTACTTCTGTTGCAGCAATATCGAAACAAAAATACATCGAGTTTTTTTCTTTACTTTTTTTTCCTCTTAATAGATATACCAGTATGTTATTTGCTTCGAAATGTGATTTCTTATATTATCTGGCTGCAAAGCTATAGTTAATAATATTTTTTAAAGCTTATAATTTAATCATTTAATGTAACCAAATTTTATCATGTTATATACACCACTGCCTCGTGTCTTTGGGTTTTTTTTCTTTTCGGTACATAATGTTGCTTTAATGATGACCCCATTTAATTTATACCTATTTGATGCAGATGCTTGATCTGGACACAGTCTAGTTGGCGTTGTTAAACTGGATTAGGACAAAGGGGTTGAGGATATGGGATAAGAACTTTGGTTATTTAATATCAGTGGCTGTTAACCCAAAGAAATCTTGGGATTCTCCCTGTTATTCGTGTCAAAGTTTCTAATTGAAGCCTGATATTCAATTATTTGGATGATGAAGTAATAGGTAAGGAAAAGGGACCTTTAACAAATGTATATATCTCTGTCAATGTCAGTTTTTTAAATTATTGTAATGGTTTGCCCGATTTTATTTATTTATTTAATTAATCGAGGGGCGTGAACAGCATAATAATAATAGAATACATGAAAGAGGGAATCTTCTTGAAAAAAACCAATTAATTGGTCCCCATTTGCAGTGATATGCATCATCATCAACTCGGATAAGAAGGAAAAAAAAAAAGCACTATTTTCAATCATATTCATGATCATCTGCTTCGGCCAAAAACAAAGGGGAAAGCCAGAAGCAATCTTAATTACTCATTTCTTGAAATAAACTCTACATCCTCTCTTATCTCTATTTGCAAGGGAGAGGGGAGAAAAAAACACAAAAAACAAAAACAAAAACAAAGAACTTCAAAAGGGTGAAAAAGAATATGCTGGTCACAATGAAATATTATCTAGAAATCCTAAACAAAAATTGGAAAATTGTGACTAGCTAGTTATCCTCACCAAAATGCAAGACTTTGAGGCCGCGGTGAAAGTAAAGCGCTCAAGGGAAAATGAAGTCAATAATGACCATCTGAATTTTCTGCTCCATCTAACACCATCTCTTGGTGGCGACATTCTTGACTGCAGAAAGCTTTCTCTCCTCTGCAAAACACAACCCATTTCATGCTCCATAAGTTTGCTCAAGTGACGTGAAACTAAATAAAACCAAAAAATGAATTAAAGAATTACATTTATGTTTGGATGTGTCTTTCTGTTTAGTCTATCCAACACTTTTTATTCAAAGTGTTAAGGTTGCATTGAAAATGAACCTTACCTGTAAATAAAGATATCCATTGTCTGCTCAAGATGCTTCTTGCAAGTGTAACAAAAGCTAAGGAAATTGACCAAAGAAGTGTGCGGGTTATTGGGCAGAGAACAATAGCTTTCCACAACACAATTATCGAATATATGGGTTGTTCTTGGATTAGGTCCATGGGATATCACACATGTGTACTCCTCAGAAAGCTCCATCTCACTCAAACTCAAAACACCTGTCACAACTGCTGGTGGAGAATCCTTAGCTTTGGCACCAAAATCAACATCACATGTTTTAGACTCAAACGTGGAAGGTGGTGGCAGGGGAGGGATTTTCACTCTAAGCTTAGTTCCAAACAGGACATTCCCATTGCTTGGTTTAGCAGAATTGTCATCAAAAGTCTCATCTTTAAGTGCACCCACAAGAGCAAGTCCAATGCCTTGTGAATCCATCTTTTCCCAAGAGCTTCTTTTTTCTGATTGCATTCTTGGGGATATCATAGCTTCGGTCCTGTTTTCATATGAGAAAGGATTCCCATTTGGGGATAATGCTCTTGTGTCAAGAATTGATGTTGGGCTGCGCAAAGCCTCAGATCCTGATAGACGCTTCATGGTGAAATCTCTAAACTTTGGTGAGCCAAATAGAGATGGAATAGTTCTAGCATAATTCTGATTTGGAGATGGCTGTGAGCTTTTATCACCCATCAAACTTGGCTTGGTTACTGCTCTTGATCGGTTCCTGAGCAGCATCAAGTCCCTTCTTCTACGACCACTGTTAAATGAAGAACAAGTAATTAGATTCAAAAGTAAAGAACGAGTTAAGTACTAGATAGACCTAGAATGATGCAAAAACATACAAGAAGTTTGAGTAAGAAATGAAACACTACTACCCAAAATAGCCAGAGTGATATTACAAAGAAAACCACTATGATTGATGCAGGCTACAATTTCCAAAACCAAAAAAAAAAAGAGAAAAACTTTAGTAAAAAGAATCTTCGTGTAATGGGAATGTTTCTGAAATAAAGGTGGTCATCTGAAACTGTCAGGCTAACTGAATTGCCTGCTCAAACAGTGTAGCAACCATACCTGCGTAAACTAATGTTACTAATTTTCTTCAAGGAGAAAAAGCATATATTCCCATGTTAGTGCAACACTGACTTGTGATCATAATTATTTTTCAATTTTTGTTCTGAAACTTTATGGAGAGCAAACAGAAAGAGAAGAGAAAGAGAGGGACGCTTTCTAGATAGAAGAGAGAGAGATGCTTGAGCAAGGCTTTTTAAGGAAGAAAAAGGAAAAAGAAATAAAAAAGTTGCGTGCATGGAAATCAAACGTTATTACTTTGAACTTTGAAGTTTTGCTTTCATTTTGTTTTGTTTTGTTTTGTTTAATTTTATTTATCTGCCTCTATCTAAATCTTGACTCTCTCATTAGACACACTCATCCAAGGTGTTTTGTCTTTTTCTAATCTTTTATTCACTGATGACTGATCCAATGGTATTGTCCTGAATCAGGTGTGCCTTCGAACATGGGAACGGAAAGAAAAGGAGCTCTTATAAATATGTAAAAGATAATAAAATGAGGAATGGTTCATATATATAATTTTGGATTTAATATTTTTTATATTGTAAAAATTTATCTCCTATGTGCACATAAAAATATATGAAACTTATGTGAATTCATTTGAATAAAAATTGAGAGAAAGAAAAATTTATGTTTCATACACTTTTATAAGCGTAGAAAATAAATTTATCTTAACATAAGAAACAATAAACTCTCTAATTTTTTTAAAATATCTGATAATTGATTATAAAATAAATTATTTTTTGAATAAAAAAAAGTATATAGTTGTAAATTTATAACCATGTAATATAATGATTATATAGTTGTACCTTCTGAGATACGCAACGGTAAGAATTAAATTATAAAACATCACACGTTTTATTTTTTTTGGGTTAAACATCGCTAGAGTGGTTAAAATGGGCTGGTCAAAGTCTGCATAGTCAAATGAGCCTCAATAATCAAGGTCCGCATGGATCAAAAATTCTATTGGTTAGGGTCAGCCTGCGGGCCATCCAAAATTATAATTTCATAATTTTTTTATCATATTCAATATATTAAAAAAATATTTTAACAAATAAAATTTTAACACTTTCTTAACATATTTTTTACAAATTATAAATTTTTTATAAATTTAATTTTTTAATAAAATAAGATTTGTACATAAATATACAAGTGAAAATGTAAACAAAATTTTAATATAAGTGAAAATTTAGTTACTACTTTTACTAAATTCATTATTAAATGATGCTATCAAATAAAAAAAATTTCACCGGGAGTCATAACAGAACACAACAATCATAGTGGAAAACTAAAAGTAATAATAAAAAATAAATTATCTTAATACCAGTATTGAATAACTGCTCTTAGTATGTTATATATTTGAAAGTAAAATAGTTGATTTTCTTTAACTATTACCGTTACAAAAAAAAATTTAGTTATTATTATCCACAAAATTACTAAAGTGCATTGTATACAATATGTTTCAATATAAATTTGGATGTATAACATGCTTAGACGTCAATAGAAAATTTTAATTTTATTGATGCGCAGATGAAAATCTATGCTAAAACATATCACTGTTGAAAAGTTTATTTTTGTTGTAAAATATTATGAATAAATTCTCACATGGTTCATCACACGTGACTCTTTATGTTTCATGATCTTTGATATATTCTATAATCACCACACTAACGGTGTGTTGAATGGTAGAATACATCTAAAGGGATATTGTAAAATATTATGAATGACCTTTCATATGGATTATGGATGACCTTTCACATGGTTTATAACATGTGACTCTTTGTTTTTTCATGACTTTCATATTTAAAAATGCATCTAAGATAGGTTCTTATATAGGACTCTTTGCTCATACTTATTTTTATTTTATTCTTTCCTTTATTTTATTTTTTCTACACTTCATTTTCCTTTCTTTCATATTTCACTTACTCTTATATTCTCTATCAAATTCACAACAATTTTTACTTATATTTATAAATATTTAAATTTATATTATTTTTAGCTTTTTAAATAATAAAAATTTTGATGAAAGAAAAAATTTGACCCCCCAAGTCAGCCCTAACCCAATATACTAAATTATAAAGCTTTAAGAGTTAGGGTTAAAAAAAGTCCTATCTCAAAAAAGCCTAATGAGTTAGGCCAAATATAATATTTTGCGGACTGACCCGCGAACTCTAAGTCATTTTGACACCTCTAAACATAGCACACAATTCTATGTTTTAAGTGGGGTTGCGTTTTTTCTCTCTCATTAACTAGTACACTTTTATATAAATTTTGCATTTGTAAATTTAAAAGAACAATTTATTATATTTTTTTTTGCAGGAACACATAAATTTAAATGGTCAAATGGTAAAAGTTCCATGTCTGATTCCATTGTTTATATATATATATATATATTAGCCTTGTGAATAATTTATACATAACATCCACCTGCGAAACAAAACTCAAATTTTAAACTAGCTCAAATTCAATAGTTAACCAAGCCTCCTCAATGATTTTAAATCTGATTCCACATGAAAGCATTTATAGGGGGAAGGAATTTTTATTCTCAAAAGATTATTAGTCTCTTATTAAAGAATGAAAATATCTCCAAAAAAAAGAACACCCCCTCTACTTTTTTTTCTTAAAGTAATATACATTTATTGTAATTTTAAAACGTTTGTTGAATAGTTGAAACTTGAAAGGCATTTAGTCGTTTATATAAATGGGTGAAGTATTATGTTCTCATCGTACATTCAGATGACTTGTATTTAATATAAGTTTACTCATGTATAAATCATTTTATTTATGGGCTATGGCTGAACTTAACTTCGATATGCAGACACCTTTTTATGCAAAGTTGTAATTGTAAGTTAATCTAAACTATAACTTATTAAATTATAGTCTTGGTCAAATAAATTATTTCCATATGCTGGATCAACAATGTAACAGGTGCAACATCCCATGTGAAATATTCTAAGACTACATAATGCAATTTGACAAAATATTTAAGTACAACTAGTTGGAACTAGGTATTAAAGTATAACTGAAAATGTATAAAAAACACTGCATATATTTTAGTGTAAGCATAGCCACATATCCTCTCATATGAAACTTCACATGACCATGTCATGTGGGGAATTATAACCATACAAAGGTTGATCAATGGTAATAAATGAGGAGAGAGAAAAAATATTAAAATAGATAGTTACGAAATCATAACCGTTGATATACCTTTGCATGGTTGTGATCTTCTCACATGACCGTATCATGTTTTTTTTCGACATGAGAAGATCCATTTCCAGCCACATATAAGCCGGGAAATGCTTGCACTTTGGCTAAATTTTAACAAATTTTATTTATTATATATAATTATATAATTAATTATAATTTAACTTGGGTTAAAGTGTAATTTGGCTCTATCTTAAAATTGAAATATATTTGATAAGAGATTTGGTTAGATTGTATTAAGTTATGTGTTTAATTCTCACTTATATATAAAAATAAATAATTTTTTTTAATAAAATTATAACTCCCTGACCATTTTATTGGTTAATTTGGCCCTGCTAAAGGCACCACTTTCCTAAAAAATATTTAATAAAATTATAACTATCTGATCACTTTCCTCAATTTTTCTGAGCAAGAGAGAATTAATTTGAATTGTCAATTGAAGTATTTCCACAAGGACATCTAAAACATTCAAAATTTCAAAATTTATCTTCAATTTTTGAGTTGGGTCAAGGATTAGCTAAGACATGAAAGTCAAATTCCTATCATTTAGTTGATAGGCTGATTCATCTTATCTTAACACTACCAGTTTCAAAATAAAGTAGTGAACGTGCATTTTCATCAATGAAAATTGTGAAAACAAGGCTTCAAAACAAAATGGAGATGACTTTCTTGCAAATAATTTGGTTGTGTATATTGAAAAAGAGATTGCTGAAACTTTTACTACATATTCTATTCTTGAAGATTTCGTTAATTTAAAAGAGCGTCATTTATAATTTTAGGTATGTATTTTTTATTATATTTTAAATTATTTATTAAATGTATTATACATATAATTATTATATTTGTGTGTTTTCATATCCTTAGTATAATACTTGGTTCATTGCTTATTATGATGTGGAAGGAAAGTGCAATTTTTATATTTGAAATTCTTACTGGAAAGGTCAATGTCTTTTTATATGTTTGTTTTGATATATAATCATTGACAATTATTTATTTGAATTTTTTGTGACATTATTTTGTAAATAATTTAGATTAGTATGCTAGAACTCATAGTAAAAAAATTTCTTAATAAATTTATGTAATTATATAAATATTTTGATAATTTGATATGTAAATTTTTTAATCCGGAATAAAATTGAAAGCTGCCTCCACTACTGAGGGTAAGCATTATATTTAAAATTGTAGTGTTAATCAACGATTAAAATTCATAGCTCCCGATTTACAAGTGTTTTTTTTTTCGATGGCTCAGAGTTTTCCAATCTTATTTATTTATTTTCTTTATAGTTAAAGTTAGACTTTTTCTAGGGTTAGAATTGGAACTTCCGGCTTCACTTTATGGAGTACCCTGAACCATTTATGCTGTTTTCAAATTTGACACTTGAGCATTCCACCAACCTAACAAAATATAGTATAACATCATGAGTTTTATAAGATTTATGTCGTAGGAAAAGTGATTGTGTTATGTTATAGAGATTTGTTTTGCGTGTCAAAATTTTTTATTTTATTTTTTTTTGTTTCAAAAATTGCGAGTCCTACAAAATATTGTATGTGTAGGAAAGTTGTTGTGGTCATGTTAAATGATAGATGCAAAACCCATCTATGTTTTCAAATATATATATATATATATATATATATATATATATATATATATATAGGTTTTATAAGAGTTATGTTGTAGGAAAAATGATTGTGTAATGTTATAAAGAGTCGTTTTGCGTGCCATAATTTTTTTTTTTTGCTTTGAAAAGTGTGGGCCCCACAAAATGTTGTGTGTGTAGGAAAATTTTTCTGGTCATGTTAAAGGACAAACTAAAATCCCTATATATATATATATATATATATATGGGTAAAGTGTGTGTCATTTTTTTTTTTGATAACATTAAGGGGCAAAGCCCCAAACAAAAACAAACAAACAACCAGAAACAAAAAATA